AGCACACACTGGATGCTATAATAAAAAAAATAATCATTTTAAGCTGGAGAAATTACTTCCAGCATGAAAGTATAAGAAGAAAACCTGCAGGAGATGGAGCTTTTGGAGTTAGGGATTAAAAATCATCTGTAATTTGTCTTGCTTGAGGAATTGCAGGGATCCATGGACAGTGCCAGTGCCAAGAGCAGCTGCCCTTGGACTGGGCTTAGCAGGGAGGCTGTTGGTGCCGCTGATGGCTGGGCTGTCCTGAGGGGCTGAGAGCCCAGCAGCAGTCCCAGACTGCTCCTTTCAGCTCTCCTTTTTGTGCTCCAGTTTCACTGCTTGGGCTCCTTTGAGAGCACCCCCTTTGCTGCGTGGAGGCTTTTGCCCCAGTCCAGGGGCTGGTGAGAGCTGTCACACACCCAAAGTCATTTTACCTGTGCGGGGCTGGCAGCAGCATGGCCTAAACAGATTTACCACTCCATTTGAAAGGGATTCAAGGTCAATGTGTTGGAAATGTGGTCTGACCGGTATGGAAGGGATCAGGGTGTCTGGAAGCTGCTTTTAGCAGGCAGGTAGCAGGTAACCTTTGCCACGGCTGCGGTCAGTGCCGCACGCAGAGGCCCTGGGGCCCGGACCGGCTGCTGGCATGTGGGAGTACACAGGGTCACGGGGCCCACACTGCTGTCAGCCAGCTCCTGTAGCCCTGCCTTTCCCAGGCAGTTATTAAAACAAATTCACCATTATTCTGGCACAGCCCTATTGAGTCCACCCAGCGGAGCTGAGCGTGTGACAGAGGGGGTGGTGTATGTGACCCCCCCGTCACTGTCCCGCACTGGGGACTCGGTAACTGAGCTCTGGGCTTTCAGAAAGTGGACTGCATTTTTGTCAGATTTTTTCTCATCAAATTAGTGGAGGAAGAATGGTCTCCCCTCAAGCAAGGAAGGGGTTAGATGCCTGTTTGTGATCCTGATGCCTGTTTGTGATCCTGTCCAGCTCAGTTTATGCTTTCAGTGTACCAACTCTGGTTTATTTACTAAACTCCTAAACAAAGTCAGTCCTTGATGCATCACAATCACAGTGCTGGAGTTTGCAAGCCCCTGTCTGGTGGTAGCATTGTCATGGGGCCTTCCGCATAAAGGAAATTTCCTTCCCAGTGTTGCTTCAAGATAAGTTGGATTCTCTATTATTGATACTGCTCGGAGAGCGCTTTCCGTTTTCCTGCTGTGCATGTTTTGCATGTTGCTCATTTCTCTTTACCCTTGGGAAACAAATGTTTTCACAAGCTGTAGGACACTTGGAGCTCCACCCATATCCTCTCATTTTAATTAATCTTCAAAATCCATAACTGTGTTTTTGAAAATATGAAGGACATTTGTCAAAACCATCACATGAGGTTTGTAAATAGCACTCAAGGCCCATGGCTGATGTTAAATCCCTGGAGTCACCGTTCATGGATGCACCTGGCCCTTACTGTGGAGGTTTTTGCACATTAATAGAGTCACAGTTGTGTTGTTTGCTTAACCAAATTGTCAGGGCTCTAAGCACCACATTTCTGTACGTATCTTTCTCTATCTGAAACATACAACCAAAATTCCTTGGTTTTAATTCTGTGTGTGTTTTAACCTGAAACCCTTGAGCAGAAAAATAGTTTATCAGTTAGAAAGGGTTGATAAAAGCATTGCAAAAACCTGCTGTCATTGTGAAACACCATGTAGAAATAATCAGGAGAGGTTTTAACATGACCAGCTCCAGTCACACCACTTTCCAAATGGGCTTGGTTTGCTTTCCCACGTTGTGGGAGCACAAGAGGAGTGAAGTGATGCGGGGTAAGAAGGGCTGTGCCTTCTCCCTCCAGGGGCTTCTCTGGCTGAGAGTGTCAGTGGGGAATTAGAGCTGTGCTCTGCCTGTGCCAAGTGCAGGATAAAGCCTGGCCGTCCTGGGTGACTGCCCCATTAGGAGCCTGAAAGAGCTGCTGTGTCTCTCCAGTGCCATTTTTCTGACATAAGTTGCTGGTTGTCCCCAAAAGTTGGCAGTGCCATGTGGGGGCCTGGCATTTGTGTGGTGCCACAGGCTTTTCCCATCGGGCTGCACCTAAACAATAAGGGATCATCCTGCTTTGGGCCCTGCTTGCTGTAAATCAGAGGAGAGATGGAAAGAAAGTGAAAAGCCATGAACAGCTCCAGCTCTGAACTTTCTGGAGCTCCTGTGAAAAGCTGACTGTAGGCTCAGCACAAGAAGTTAGTGCTGGACCCAGCACAGTAGAGACTTTCACACTATTTTGGAGCGGTGGAGCCGGCAGGGAGGAGGCTGGTGCCACAGAGGATGGGTGGGGATCAGGTGAGAGCAGCTCAGGCAAGAGCGAGCTGGGGCGGAGGTGGGAGCCGGGGAAACCAACGGGGCCCTGCGGCCTCTCGCTGTAAACAGGAAATCGAGGCCACCCAGAGCAAGGCTGAGGAAACGGGAGAGCAGAAGGGGAGAGGCAGCCACTGGCTTTGAACTCTAGAGTACAGAAAACACTCCTAAGGGCACCACCATCAGCTCCCCCGGCACAGAGGGTCTCCAGCCAGGCTGGACTCCCATCCTCTCTCTCCCTGATAGTTCATTGTGATTAAGGATGCTGAGGCAACACTCAAGACAAGAAGTCAGTAAAACTTTCTCAGCTTTTTTTCCCCAAGTCCCCACTGCCTGAAAAATGCACTCTGTCCTCCACTGAAAATGCTGGGGTGGCTGGGGTAGGAAAGCTTTTTGGGAAAGCAACCTCAGAGCTACATGGACACTGTCCCCAGGAGGGACCTGTTCTCCCTGTCCTGGAAGGGCTGCTTGCTCTGTTGGCTTCCTTGACTTGCTTTCAACACCAGAAGATCCCAAGCTGGTGTCAGTTAATACCATGGCTCCAAAGGTTTCACAACATGACTTGATGTGTCACTGCATTTCCCACATTGTGTCTTTCATCTGTTCAAAATTAGGCCCTGACTCTTCATCTCCTTTTACTAAACCCACATGGAGGTTCTTCTTCCATTCTTTACTTTCACTGTGACCCCAAATTGGGAGAATTATTGATAACCATCATTTTTGACCAAATATTGTTTTAAGGGTGGGGTTTAAGATGGCATTTGATAGCTCTTTTTGTTTTACATAATATTTTGTATAGCAGCTCTTTTTTCATGGTCCTGTACATTGGCATTTCTCTTTGGAATGAATGTAAGCACAGGGATCACTGAATGTTGTGCTTCTGTGTAGAGACTACAGTAATTAAATAAACAAACTTGCTGATCTGTTCTGGGGCTTGTACGAGCTGGTGAAAGGAGACATAATTTCTGATGGAATTTTCTTTAAAAAGCACCAACTATTGCAACGTTTCTCTTCTGTGACTCATTTCAAAAAAATACTTCAAGTAAAGGCATGGATTACTAGACAAGCAGATATGCAGATACAGCATTCCCAGGCACTTGCTATAAATAGTTCATAAAAATATATATTTAAAGCTAGTAGACACTGGCTGCAGTTTCTTCTGATCTGTTCTCTTCCTCTATCACAGGAATGCTCTGCTCCACGCAGAGTAAGGGCAAACACAAAAATGCAAAGTGTCAGTTTACCCAAAGAACATTGTTTTGTCACTAACCCCAATTTGACATTCTTCCAAGCCACATGTGTAATTTCACTCCTTAAGAGGTAGGTAAAAGCTGTCAAAAATGGGGCAGTTTCAGGGCAGTAGATTTGGTCATGTCTAAGCACATGGGTAGGAAGAACAAGTTCAGAAATAAGTGGGAGGAACTGAAATCTTAGGGTGGGGTTTGTGCAGTTGTGCAAACCAGCACTCAGTGCAGGTCTGCTCTCCTCCTACTCACCACTGTTCTGTTATCTGATTTCTCTTCTTACTGTCTTTTCTTATTTTACTTGGTACCCAGCTTTCTGTCTTCTTCACTCTCAGCATCTTTGTCATCCCACCTCACCATGATCAGATTTTTGCTGCTGTCCCCTAGGTCCTGGAGGCAGTGACTGGTTATGAATGTGCTGGGACCATGCCCCCACCATGCTGCACTGCCAGGAAGGGAGCACATCCTTCCTTTGGGAGGACAACATCCACCAAACCCCTGGGCAGCCACATCTGAAATGTTCTCAGTGTTTTAAGCAACATTTTTGGAGCTTTCAGAGCTGGGGGCACTGCAGTTTAGGATTAATCTGTCTTCATGTCTTGTTTCTGTACATGCCAACAACTTTATAGAGACTGATGGGAGGCTTGGAATCTTGTCTGCCTGGGAAAGCAGAGCACTTCCATTCATCTGTCTAATTGCGGCTTCCAGAGTCCGAGTCAGAGCACCTGTGTTTTGACAAATTTGGTCTGTAGTATTTCCCAGCTCAGTGAAATGACTTTTGGTTAACAAGGCTTCATCCAAAGCCCTTGGCAAAATAATGTAACCACAGAGATGTATAATGTTTTCTGTCTGAGAGCTCTGGGCTTGGCAGATAGGAGCTGGGTAGGAGTTTGTGAATTAATGTGGACTGCAGTGAGCCTGTGCAGTAAGAGAGCTCTCACAGCCAATGTTTTCCTCTATAAACTGTTGTGAAAGACTCTGGGAAGGGAAGGTGGAAAGAATCTATTTTTCTATGGCTTGGTATAAATGCTTGTCTACCTCAGGCATGCAGTTATGGAAAAATTTGTGTTGACATTGTGTAAATACAGTTACAAATGTTGAATCTGCAAATAAGTATTGTCATGAGAAGGAAAAAAGTCAGTGGGAAATGTTGGTCTCTGCTCTCTATCATATTTGTCTTAATCCAAAAGGACTTGTGGTATTTTGGGGGATCTGTTATGGATTTGTGTGTGTTCCAGAGCAGGTGAACTCAGCAGGTGAAGAATGGTGGGTTTTTAATGAAAAGTCCTAATTTCATCAATGATTCTCCCAGAAAGACAAGCCATACCTTTGATTTAATCTTAAATGATTGAGCATCCCATTTTCACGTAGAAACCTGAGCTGTGATTTATTTTGAGTAACATTCTGTTGTTTTCCCCACAGATGAACGTGAGGCAGTTCAGAAGAAGACCTTCACCAAGTGGGTGAATTCCCACTTGGCTCGTGTGTCCTGCCGAATTACAGACCTGTACACTGACCTTCGAGATGGGAGGATGCTCATCAAACTCCTGGAAGTGCTTTCAGGAGAGAGACTTGTAAGTGCTTATCAGTATCCATGGTGGGGAGATTGGGTTGGCTTGGATTTGGGTGGGGTTTTGTGAATCCTTGTCTCAACTGCAGTATAGGAAATCGGAGTGCTGAGGGTTCAGCACTGAAAATATATTTTTATATATTAAAGGAAACAAAAAAAAGAGTTATATTGCTTCAGCTGGGTCCAGACACCACCGAAATGCCTTCGTACTGGATTCAGTGGGAATCAAAGGAAGTCTTCTTCAAAGGTTCCTTGCTGGGCACATGCTGAATGCTTCCAGCAGCATGTTCCCTGCTCCCAAATCTGACAGGCACAGAGTACAAAATGTTCCTGAGCCCCTTAGATCCCTTGGTGGTGGTGAGTTAGATATGCTGAGACACCTGTGCCCTGTGGGCAGTGGCCCATTTCTCTGCTAACAAACCCTGCACTGATGCAGGTCTGCAGGCCTGGCACATCCCTGCTCCCTTCCCAGAGCATGCCAGGGTTGTGCAGGACAATAGTTGGAGAGGGCCACGTCACCCTGGGAGCAGCTGGAGGTGTGTTCATTACACCCCACTGCTGAGGAATGTCCCTGAGTGTACTTGATTTTACTCACATAGATAAGGTTTGGGCTTTCTTTGGTAAGGGGAATATCTAAAATCAATATAAACAAATGGGTCAAATTCTTTCTTTGGGTGTGCTGAGGCACCCCCTTGGTACCAGCACAAGGAGTGGTGAGTAAGAAAGTCCTTGTAGTAGAAAATGCTGCTGCACAAGAGGAAAATTGGGTGCCAGGAAGTGGCTGGGTATCAGCTTTTCCTTCAGTTCCTTAAATGATGGTGATGCTCTTAGCTGCCTAATTTAGAGCAATCTTTTCAAAGAAACACCAGTCTTTAGCTAAGACCCAAGGCTGCAGGGGGCTGGGTAATCACTTGCCATCAAGCTCTCCTATTAGTGGAGCTCTGTGGCTTAAGACTCTGGTTAATGAGTGGAACATATGGCCCAGTGTAGTGTGTGTGTGGGGAGGCAGGAGAGGAGCTGCCTGAGTGCCTCTGGGAGGGCGAGGGAGTTGGGATGTGCACAGAAGTGCCTCTGGGGATGGGGTAACAAATCCTGGTGTTCATCAGCTGCAGTTTGCTCTGAGCCCCTCTCTGTCTGTGCCAGACCACTCACCCCAGCCATGTGTTGGGTTTGATGTGCTCACTGCAGGTAGCAGGTATTCCTCACACAGGGATAGTTGAGACCAACATGCCCCATTATTTGAGGGCTGAGACACCAACTGTGTCACCTCTGGTTAATCTGCCTGTCAAGATTTGACTTTCAGCAGCAAATAGGAAGCTCAGAGCAGTCCCATGACCATGGTTGCACCGTTCATTTCCATATTTCACTCCAGGTTTTGGAAAATGCAACAGGGCAGCTATGACTGTGGGGTGGGGAGAGGACAGGAGCCTCCTGGAGCTGCACTTGCATCATTGTGTCTGGCATTGGCAGCTGCCTGCACCACCAGACATTCTTTTTGTAGCTTCCTTATCTGAGGCTGGAGGACAGCAGGCTCTGTTTGAACAGTGCATTCCACCACACCTTCTTCTGCAAACAAGAGTAAACGCAATGCACTAAACCTTGAGACAATTACACACACCAAAAGTATTCCAGGAGAATCTTACACACACCAAAAATATTCCAGGAGGACTGCCATGCAGCCTCCACTTGCTGATGTTCTTCAGTTTTTGGAATTTATTTTAGTCAATATTAGGTAGATTCTGGCATCTCCATGGCACCCCAGAGAAATTTGAAGGCAGATCTTATGCAGAAGGCTTAAAATCAAGACAAGAAATATCACATGGTAAGAAAGCAGAAGCTAGCATAGGTGAGTATCCCATAAACATGGTGTATTTACTGGTGTAGTAGAACAAACAGAAGTTATTTCCTCACTTTTGAAACTGGGATTCAGATTCTGGAGGCTGTGGAGCAGAGTCCAGGATTTTGGATCCCAGTCAGGGAAGCAGGGCTGCTCTTTGCCCTCTCACTTTGATTGCACAAACCCCGCTTTTTCAAAACTTACTGTGATTTTTGTTGATGAAAACCCACATTCCTTGGAGGTGTGTTGGAGAAACTCAAAATGAGAGCAACCAATAATGGCAACACCTACATCTTCCTGACCTTGCTCAGTTTGATTCCTAATCCTAGTGGTTAGTCCAGACCTTACAGCATAATGTCCTCTGCACAGCAGTGTTTGGAAGGAAACTGATAGCATGCAATGCTCTCATTGAGCACAGCGGGAAAGAATCCAGCCAGCATGAAAGGACAGTTGTAATTTGGTTTGCACACACTGTTAACCAGCTTCTCCCAAACAGAAAAATAAAGCTGGGAATTGTTTTTGTCCTAAGATTAAGCATTTAGCTCAGTTTCTTCCCTAACCAAATTAAGGATTAGTAAATTCCTTGCAATTCCTGGATGCTCAAAGGTCAAACCACTTAAGCACATTCTCTGTAGTGAATTCTGTCACATTTTCTCTTGGAAAAGAGGAAGGGTTTTGATGTAGAACCAGTTTTCCTGTAATGTGTATGTGAAGACTTGGGTTTGGTACTTGCTTTCCCTCCACTCAGTGTCTGGATCTGTGTTAGCCCAATAAAAGTGCAAGATATGTCTCACTGTGCCTCATCCTGAGGCTATGCAGGGGAGTGTGGCAAGCACAGCCACACCTTGTACAAACCAGACTCAGACGCCTCTTCCTCTACATAAAACATCTCTGGTGAATGGTTTTAGCTCTGTAACCATGGCACCGGAGCTTCTGAGAGCACAAAATGAGCTTTTTGAGTCCTTTTCTGCTTGGTACTTTGAGGCAATAGAGGTGGTGCAGGTGCTGCTTTGGGCTGTGGGAAGGGCTGTGTTAAGGCACAGGGGACAGGCTGCAGTCTGCCACTGCTGCTGAGAAGTGGCCACAGCCACAGTCATTTCCTGAGCCTTGTGAACATCCTTGTGCAGGTGAGCAGGCCTGGGAAGCTGCTCCCGGGCTCCAGGTGTGGCCATGGGCTGAGACCAGCCATGGGCCGGAGTTGGGGATGCAGCCAGGCCTCCGCCTTCCCTCCTGCCCCAAACTGCCTCCTCCCTGTGTTTTGTTTTGCAAGGTTCAGTCAAGCCTTAGGTCCAGCTTCCTACACTCCTAATGATTGATGGTGCCAGCTAAAGGCTGGATCCCAGATTGTCCCTGCTGAGTGAGGAATTTCTGGGAGGCTTCAGCCAACCATGCAGCTCTCTCCTGCTTCTTCTGCTCCAGCTGTGGCTCTTTGCACTGGCAGCGTATGGGATGGATGGGGTGTGCACAGGCTGCAATTTGGGCCCCTTTGGAGGCCCTTTTATACGCCAAAGCAGAGGGAGTCTCCTGGAAATTCTCCTCCTTGCTGTGAGCTGTGGGTTGATCCTGCATCCTTCCCCAGCCTCGGGAGGAGAACAGACCCAGGCTGACTGAGGCTGAGGCCGGTGACCTCAGGGTTTGTGTGTCCCAAAGGTCATCTTCCTGCATGGCTTCCCTCTCCACCACCCCTTGTGCCACAGGCTGTGTTTCTGTACCATGGCAGGGACTGTACCGTGGCACTGGCCAAAACTCTTCACCTTGAATGCAGACTGGGGCAAGGATATTGCCTGAGCTATTTCCATGGCCACTTAATTACATTCACTGCAGAAAACAAGGACATTATGGCAATTAGTCGTTTGGCTGAGTACCTTTGGTGACATCCCAGTGCCCACTGAACAGGCTATTCAGCTGTAATCCTTATCTGCACAACAACGTTCCCTCAATTCTATTCAGTTTTACGGCAGAATTCTGCATGCTGATATCACATTCGTTGCATTTTTGCAGTTGCACTGGGCCTTCATATAGCTGTGTTATGTTGATGTAGCTGATTTTTTTTAATTAGTGTTTTTTTCTTATGAAGAAAAATTTGTAATCGATCTCTGTTACTTTCTTACTCTTTATCCGATTTACTGACCAAAGAAAAGCAATGCCATTTCCTTCTGGAGGAGATCTACTGACTAGCTCACAGTTCAAATCTGAGCTTGTGAGTGAATATCCCTGGAGAGGAAACATGAGGGAAGTAAGCAGGAAAAATCCTTTGAAAGGCAAATTAAATTGGGGTCATGTGTCCTGCCCAGGTCCAGGATATTGGTTTTTCTACCATGGGTTTGGCACCTGCTTCCATTATCCTGGTGAAAATGGGCTGAAAGATGCAAGGAGTGGTTTTGTCCCTAGAATTTGAGGAACAAATGCAGCATTACTGCCTGGGAGTGGTGATGCCCTGGCCAGGACTGAGTTTACAAGCTCTGATTTTCCCCCCACCCATCTACAGTAATAAATGTTTTTATTCTTCCTTTTACCTTCTAGCCTAAACCAACTAAAGGAAGGATGCGCATCCATTGCCTGGAGAATGTGGATAAAGCCCTCCAGTTCCTGAAGGAGCAACGAGTGCACCTAGAAAACATGGGATCTCATGATATTGTGGATGGGAATCACAGGCTGACACTTGGCCTTATTTGGACCATTATCCTGAGATTCCAGGTAGAGTTGTGTGCACACACAGATACATGGATGAGCTTTCCACGCCTGTTTGTCACATACTTCACCGTGCACTTTTGGAGCAGAGTGCTCCCAGGTGCTCCCATCTGATGGGAGGGAGGAGTGCTTGGGAACCTGTCAGGATAAATCAGTGCCTGTGGTGCTGCTGACCTGTGGTGGGAGTTTCCTGTGGGGAAATTCATATGGCTTTCTTTTTAAGTCACTAATAAATGTGAAGCTCCAGTCTCCACACTAGATCCAGGAGGAAATGCTGCCCTGAGCTGCTCTCCATCTTCATGCTGGTTATCTATAACTTGGCTGGCTTGGCACTGACATGGATTAAGGGTGCCCACGGGAATTATTTTAGTGTCCCAGCTAAGGCTTGAGATTTCTTGTTTTCCAGCGAGTTCCAGATTGGCCTTTGCTTTTAGTTTAAAAAGGATGGAAAGTCCTTTTGCAGAAAGAATAATGCATTCATATAATAAATATATAACTCAAAATAAATATCATAATAATAAACATTTAATAGCATTAATTTTGGTGTTTTCCAGGATTCCTTACACCTTTTCCAAAAAGGCAATGTGTTTTCTCAGAGAAATATTGAAATCTTCTATGTTACTTTTAGATCCAAGATATCAGCGTTGAAACTGAGGACAACAAAGAGAAGAAATCTGCTAAAGATGCTTTGCTTTTGTGGTGCCAGATGAAAACAGCTGGGTGAGTGTGAATTAAGCCATTCTCTCTAAAGCTCTTACAGCATTTGGAGTTTTTGTTGAAATAATTTTAAATGGGCAAACATATCTCTTCTTAAGTGGATTTAGTGAGAGGGAATTCAAGACAAATGAGTTGACGTTTACAAGTCAGAAAAGTCTGAATTTGTGATGTCAATTCTGGGTGATAAACGTACCAACTGGATAATCCATGAATATATATGTAGTAATATGCTGACTCTTTTTCTCCCTATTCTGAAGAAAGAATTGCAATTTCAAGGGAAACTCAATGGCTTCCTGCTCTGGCTTTTGGTGCCAGAGTGTGCAGAGCTGCACTGGGGGTGCTGTATTGATTGCACTTTCCTTGGGTTTGTTCTGCAGGTACCCCAACGTCAATATCCACAACTTTACAACAAGCTGGAGGGATGGGATGGCGTTCAATGCACTGATCCATAAGCACAGGTATGTGTGGCTCAATGTCTGCCCTGGTTTGGAGCTACCTTGCAGCTTGATTTTAAAAATCTGTGAAGAGCAGGAGGTTGAGGAGTTGCTGAGAGTTTTAGAGCAACTTGTCTTGTTTTGAGCTTTACAGCTCTTGTGGTCATTGTGAGCTTGGCTGGGCAGCAGCTTCTCACACCACAAGTCAAAACAGGCTGTGTTTGGTTTCATGGGCATAAATTACACCTGTGACTATTTGGGTTTGGTTTGGTTCTTGTACCTCAGTGAGTAACTCATGCCCACGTCTGGAATTTAGGCGCAGGAGTAGGGAAGCACACCCAGAGCAGCCTGGAGGGAAAGGAAATCCCTGCCCAAGGGTGGCCAGATGTGGTGCCAGGCTGCCATGGCTGGGGATGCTGCTCAAGGTGGAGTTAATCCAGATGGATTGCACGCTTCCATGGTCATGAGACTCATGACCACAGCTATGTTCTTCTTTTCTCCAGGGTCACCTTCCCTGCTGTTTAGCTCTCCCCTGCTCTCTCCCATGGCCAGGTCCTGCTGTGCCATGTGCTGGGCATTGCTTCATTCCTTTAACACTGCTGGGAAATGCATAGGGCCCGTGAAACGTTGGCTGGGTTTTCTAAGGGTTGGAGATTTTAGTTCATTTGAGGGTGGCTGCGCTGTGCTTTGGGAAATCTAAAGAATTTTCCGTCCTGTCTAGGCCTGATCTGATTGATTTTGACAAGCTGAAGAAATCAAATGCACACTACAATCTGCAGAATGCTTTTAACCTTGCAGAGCAGCACCTTGGTCTTACCAAGCTCCTGGACCCTGAGGGTAAGAATTCCAGCAGTTTCAGCACTTAAGGGCTCTTTCTTCCCACCCCTCAATGTCAGAGCACATCTCTGTGGCAGCTTTTTGTGTCCAAGAGCAGCTGGATGCTGCTGACTCACCTGGTGATACAGGCAGAGAGGGAGGGGGAGAATGTGAAATTTCTCCAGCAGCAAACTGAGCAGCAGTAGCACAAGAGCCCTTAATCCTGTGTTTATTTACTGACATCTGAACAAGTTTGTTGGCCTGGTCATGTGTCCATGAAGTCATTCCAGTCAGAGGCTTCTTTCTGAGAAGGAAGAGAAGCAGAGGAGCAAAGAAACTTCAGCCTGTGCTTCTGTGGGAATGTGTGTGCTCCCAGTGCTGGGGCAAGATCATTTTGTGTCACAGGGCAGGAGCGATGTGTTTAGGCAAGTTTCTTCTTGTTTATTTTCCAGTGCCTCAGAATTGCTGAGAAATATTTTGTTTTCCACCTGTATCTCTCAGATTCACCTGGACAGACATAAGTTTGAATTCCTCTCTCCAAATGCTGACACAGCACTGAAGTTGTCAATTAACAGTAGTTCTGTCAACTCACACAGACACCAGAGGAGTTATTTGGCTGTGCACAAGCTGTGGCAAAGTCTGGAACTTGACTGTAAAGCCCAAAGGCCCCAAGCTTTAGCCCCAGTCCACACTACTGCCAGAACCAGTGCAAAGCTGCTCAATTTACTTTTTATTAGGACACCAACCTTAGGGGCTGAACTGCCACTGACCCCATCTCTGACTCCCAAACGTATCCTTGGTGCACTCTGAGCTCTCTCGGTGTAACCCCTGCAGCCTCAGCATGCTGAGATAACTCTTGTTTGGTTTGCAGATATCAGTGTTGATCACCCTGATGAAAAGTCAATCATCACCTATGTGGTGACATATTACCACTACTTCTCCAAGATGAAAGCTTTGGCTGTCGAAGGAAAACGTATCGGAAAGGTCTGCCAGTTTAAATTATAAATTGTTACAAAACAAGCAAAATATTTCTGATTTTCTTTTTCCTCTTGGGTGTTAATTTTTAAAGAGTCCACTCTCTGGTAATTTTGATTTTTTTGCTTTTGAACATATTTTGAATGTTAAATATTCCCATGTGACTATGAGGAGTAGTTAATTTCCAGCTGCCTCACATTAGAAAGCATTTGGCTGGTGTTTTATTTTTGCTTGTTCATTTTGCATCATTGCTACTTTTCCTTTCTCATTAACTGCTCCTCACCCTCTGGGCCCTCTGTCTCCTCTGGAAAAGTCCCTAATTTAAAACATGTGCAGTCATTCTCTGTCCTTTGGCGACATTGCCCCGGTCCTTTCAGCTGGCAGACTGGACATGAACCCTTGTGTGAGCCTCAGCTCTGCCCCCCTACTGCTGTGGGATCTTGGGAATTTAGTGCTGAAAAATGCCAAGCTCTCATTCCTCAGGGATCCCGGCAGTGAGTACTCTGATTCACAACTCAAGTCTCCCAGCAGTTTCTTTTATGTGGCTTGTAGGATTTAAATGACTGAAGAGCACTGCCCTTGTGACTCATGTGTGTTGTGCTGCTGTTGCAGGTGCTTGACAATGCCATTGAAACAGAGAAAATGATAGAAAAATACGAGTCCCTGGCTTCTGACCTGCTGGAGTGGATTGAGCAAACCATTATCATCCTCAACAATCGCAAATTCGCCAACTCCCTGGTTGGGGTGCAGCAGCAGCTGCAGGCGTTCAACACTTACCGCACAGTGGAGAAACCACCCAAGTGAGTTTAACCTCATCTTAACACAACAGTCAGTGGCATTGCTGGCTTAGTCACTCATTGATTTTTTTAAAAAACAAACACATCCAAGTAATTTTAGTTGTGGCTTAAGAATTTATTTTCCTGAGCAAGCCCAGCTCTCATATTCCTGATTGGTACTCGTCGGTGTTACTTGGGGCCTGTTTGCTTTGTGCTGTTCAGTGAGCAAATAATAACAACAGCAACAAGAATAGCATGTCTCCCACAGGATCTGGGAGTCCTGGAAGCTGTCCCTGCCCTGGGATGCCTGTCTTATCATATGAGTGGTAATAGCATACTGTGGTAGTACAGTAATGTCACCACTCGTGCTTTTAATAGCAGAGGATAATACCAAAATGCTGCTATTAAAAGATCCCTACTGCTTATCCAACATGAAGAGGAAACGTGTCTGGCTTTGTCAAACAGCTCTACTTACTCAAACTGATACAAGCAGAACAGGGCAACTTCTTTCTGGAAAGCCTCTTTAGGATTGTGATATTAAATCTGTTTATTATTTTTGTCTAATTCGAGTTCTAATGAATAATAATCACGACCCAAAACATTACACAGGATCCAGACTTCTTCTAAAATTGCAGACTATTCCCTAATGCCCCTGGAGTTTGTTTGTTTCCCAGGCATACAACACAGGGAAAACAGTGGGAAGAGTTTACTGATGGCGGAGGGCTTTAAATAAAACTTCCATTTCTTGTGCTGATGGAGTGAACTAGGACAGTGCACGTACTAGAATTAAAAAAAAGCCTTTTCCTGTCCCCCGAGGGGTTTAAATCCAAACACTCAGACAGCTGACTTCTGTGAAGTTGCTTTTGCTGTCTGCCCCAACTGGCTCCAGGGGAAGTGTGGGCTATTTCCATTGCTCCCAGCTTCCACACAAGATGGAGGTGTTTATGTGAATGCACCATTCACCACGTCAACATTTTAAACAAGTGCTGTATTATAGTTTATTGTAGTTGACTATATTCAATGTTTTATAGAAGAGCTTCCCTGTAAGTGTGGTGAGGCCCTGGCACAGGTTACCCAGAGAAGCTGTGGCTGCCCCATCCCTGGAAGTGTTCCAGACTGGGTGGGACAGGGCTGGGATACTGGAAGGTGTCCCTGCCCTGGCAGGGGGTGTAACTGGATGGGCTTTGAGGTCCTTTCCAACCCAAACCATTCTGTCAATTCATGATTCTATGATTATACCTTAGCAGTAATGAAAGTTTGACTCAATTCTCTTGCAAAATTTTGTTTAGATTTACAGAAAAAGGAAACCTGGAAGTGCTGCTTTTTACCATCCAAAGCAAAATGAGAGCCAACAATCAGAAAGTGTACATGCCGAGGGAGGGCAAACTCATCTCTGACATTAACAAGGTAAACTGAGCAGCTCCTCCCCTGTGACTCAGGATATTGCTGTTTTCTCTCAACATTTGTTCTTCTCAAAACCATTTGTGATCTCCAGCCTTGATGTGGGGCTGTAAGGGATGGGTGAGGTGGGGTGACCTTTTCCTGTAGCTCGGACTTACTTCCCTGAGCCAGGCCTGGGCTGTCCTCAGCATCTGTAGGAGCTTCTGCTCCTGGGGCTGCCAGCTCTGCCTTGCCCCTCGTGGTCCTGGCTGTTGGAGAGAAGTGACAGAAGGCAGCAGCAGTAGGTGCTGTGCCCTCCCCTTCACCTCCCAGTGCCCTGCCTGGGCATCGTGGATCCCTCTGGATTCCTGCAGCCTGTTCTCTGCTGCTGCAGCTGGCAGGGCAGGGCTGAGCACAGCAGAGTTGACAGGCTCTCTCAAGGATAACAAACAGCTTCAGCCTGGCAGCTTTCTCCTTTGTGTTTAATCATGCTTGGCAGTCCCATACCAGCTGTTGTGGGTGTCTGTGGCCTCATCCCAGGGAGCAGCAAACTGCTCAGCTCTCCTGGTTGCAGGAGGAATGCCCAAAATAGTCGTGTTTCAGGCAGTTTCACATCTGTTCGGATTTAGATTTAGTTTGTGTTTAATTGAGGGTTTTTTTGTTGTCTGTAAGAAGATCTGAGAGGTGATTAGCTGACTTCCAGCTTCTAAGACTTCTGATTTTTGTAATAAATTCATCATGCATATGAATAACTCCTAGCTTGGGGGGAATAAAGGACTTGTAAGCACCAGAAGTAAGCAAATTCTGCAGTTGTTTTCTTTTCCAAAGTGTAATGAAGAATAACAGTTGTATGTTGATTTTGGAGGTGAGAGGCCATGAATCTCTTAATTCCCATTTCCTAAAGGAGGAAGATAGAATCTGCTTGTTTGGGAGCAGCACTCAGGAGATTTTATTTTTTTAAATAAACTCTTTCTTACACATTCAAGCCAGGTGGTTTCCTTAGGCTTTGTTGGGAAGGGGGGTAAGAAAGGACGAGAGAAAATGCATCTGAGATAAACAACTTGCTCAGAAAATGACTGACTAAATTGAGAACAGATTTTAAGTCGTGTGTTTATATTAGCAAACAAGGTGTAGGGCCAGCCAGTGCAAACTGGATTTATAGGCTTATAAATAATTGAACCAGTTTGGTGAAAGTTGCCTGTAGTGGCTTCAGCCCTGATTTCATGCAAAGGAGATGGGATTTATCATAATCTTGTAAGAATGTGTTGTTTAGAAGCCATGTGTTTTTCCTCCATATCTTCAGGCCTGGGAAAGACTGGAAAAAGCTGAACATGAAAGAGAACTGGCACTGCGAAATGAGCTCATCAGACAAGAGAAACTGGAACAACTTGCACGGAGATTCGATCGCAAGGCAGCTATGAGAGAAACTTGGCTGAGTGAAAATCAACGTCTCGTTTCTCAGGTGCTGCTCTCAGAAATTGTCTGGGTGACTAAAATTGTTCCCATGAGTAATTACAGGATGCAGTTCTTGCAAGGAGAACATTTTCTTCCCTGTGCCTCATATTTTACGACATCTATGTATGTGTATATTTATTTATTGCATTTAGTTATTCTATATGTGTATGTACTGTACATCCTCACTTTTATACGTTTGGGATTCCCTTCCTTGAACCTACCAGACTGTGGTCAGGAGAATTTGATGAGGAAATTACTACCCACAGTCAATATTTTCTTTACATGAATATTTTGCTGAGTGCAGTGAAATTAGCCCAGGAGTTAATTTTATTGTTTATTATTAGAGATGATAATATTAGATCAGCCCCAGACTAATCCTGATGGCCATGTGATTCTTCCCGCAAAGGCAGTGAATAATATCTCTGATTTTATCAGTAGTTCTTTATTATCAGAGGCATCTCTTATTTTATTTAAAGAAGACTCTCAGGAGCATTTTGAGGTCCCGGATTTGCTAACAAGTGTGTTTTGCCAAGTCAGAACTGACAGCAGAGGTTGAGCAGAGAGACTTTTGTCCTCAGCAGCCATTCCTCAAGAAGTGCCTCTATCTTTGCAGGACAATTTTGGCTTTGACCTCCCAGCAGTGGAGGCTGCCACGAAGAAGCACGAGGCCATCGAGACGGACATCGCGGCGTACGAGGAGCGGGTTCAGGCCGTGGTGGCGGTGGCGAAGGAGCTCGAGACTGAAAACTACCACGACATCAAACGCATCACTGCAAGGAAGGACAATGTCATCCGCCTGTGGGAGTATCTCCTGGAGCTGCTCCGGGCACGGAGACAGCGGCTGGAGATGAACCTTGGGCTACAGAAGATTTTCCAGGAAATGCTGTACATTATGGACTGGATGGACGAGATGAAGGTGGGTGGAAGTCCTTTGAGAATGCAGACCGAATATTGCTCAGAGGTGTACGTGTCCCTTTCTGTCAAGATTCATTTTGCCCCTCTGGTTTAGTAGACAGACCCAGAAGATCCACATTCAAGAGCGGTGAACAAATTCCTTATGATTTGTTAACAATAAAGATTAAAACCATGTCAAGGAAAAAGAACAAGTTCACTCCTATAGAAAGCTACTTTCTAGCTTCATGTTTGTCTCATAGAGCCCAGAAGTTTTGGTCACAGTGCTTGGGTAGAGATGACAGATTTGGTAAAAGGGAATGAGATAATCTCTCTCCATCATGATTTACATGGGGAGCAAGTCACCTCTTCACCTCTCTGCTTTAAAAAGCTTGAATTTCTTCCTGTCTGTTCTCCTGGGATTCGGGAAGGGAAAGGACCACAACTTGTCCATCAGCCAGCAGAACTTGGAAGCTGTTGGAGGAAAGAAACAGCTCAGCAGGAGCTCACAGCACTTGGGCTGAGTGCAGCTCCTTGGCCCTGCTGAGCTAACTCAGCCTCTCAGCATCCTAGACTGCAAATTCATTGAAGAGCAGTCAAGTTCTTAGTCGTTGCCAGTGATTTCAAAACTGCTGGCTCAAATTTGTATCAGCCATGTCTCCACATTTGAAATTTCTGTCCTTATGGGCCTGGAGTTCCTCTGACCTGATGTACCAACAGATAACAGTGCCTGGAGTCCCAAAGAAGCAAGCAGCTTATGGCCTTCAGCCTGTTTTACTTGTCTTTCTCATTTTGTTCAGGTGCTTTTGCTGTCCCAAGACTATGGCAAACATTTGTTGGGAGTTGAGGACCTGCTGCAGAAACATGCTCTGGTGGAAGCTGACATCGCTATTCAGGCTGAGAGAGTAAGAGGGGTCAATGCCTCTGCTCAGAAGTTTGCCACTGATGGAGAAGGTAACCAGCACCCCATATACCCGTTTTGTCTTAATTACCTATGAGGTTATCTGTGACATTCATTAGTTCTGCAAGATAGGTAAATTTCCCACCAGAATGGGAGAATCCAGCTCCATTTGTTCCTTCTGTACTCAGCATTTCAATGATTCATTTGTCCAGGAGCCTGTTCAGGAATTGAGTGTGGCATTGTGCCTTGCATGGGATGTCACACTCCTCACCAGCAGCCGCTGTGACTTTGTAGAGGGTCACCACGGCTCCCCTTGCTGTGTTCCTAATGCAAACATTTACACAGATTGTTGGACCCAGTCTGATGGTGTCCCGATTTATCCTAAAAGGAAGCAATTCCCTAGAACCCAGCGCTGTTAATAGAATAAATTATGTCCATTTTGTGCAGTTGTGCATAAATCTGAATTCAGTGAATTTTGGCTCACTGGAAACAGTCATGAATATCTTTCCTTTTGGGTTTTTTTTTTTGTCTTTTGGAAAGAATAGTGTTTTCTGGTCTGCGTTATTGTGTGGTGGAGCTTGAACACTTCCCACTCACTTTCCTTAGACTAGCCGTGGATTCTTTCATGTGAACCTTGTAGCTGGCACATGCAGGAATTCAGAGCTCTGCCTGTGCCCCAGCTGTGGGGATGGGAGCGAGCGAGGCCAGGTGGTAACACACGTTCTCTGTCCGAGCAGGTTACAAGCCCTGTGACCCACAGGTGATCAGGGACCGCGTGGCTCACATGGAGTTCTGCTACCAGGAGCTCTGCCAGCTCGCGGCCGAGCGCCGTGCGCGCCTCGAGGAGTCCCGGCGCCTCTGGAAATTCTTCTGGGAAATGGCTGAAGAGGAGGGCTGGATCAGGGAGAAGGAGCAGATCCTGTCATCTGATGACTATGGGAAGGACCTAACCAGTGTTGTCCGACTCTTGAGTAAACACAAGGCGTTTGAGGATGAGATGAGTGGCCGCAGCGGCCACTTTCAGCAGGCGATAAAAGAAGGTGAAGACATGATCGCGGAAGAGCATTTTGGGTCTGAGAAGATCAGAGAAAGAATTAAGGATATCCGGGAGCAGTGGGCTAACCTGGAGCAGTTATCTGCCATTAGGAAGAAGAGGCTGGAGGAAGCCTCTCTCCTTCACCAGTTCCAGGCTGATGCTGACGATATTGACGCGTGGATGTTGGACATCCTCAAGATTGTCTCCAGTAATGACGTTGGCCATGATGAATATTCCACTCAGTCCTTGGTCAAGAAACACAAAGATGTGGCTGAAGAGATTGCGAGCTACCGGCCGACCATCGACTCTCTTCACGAGCAGGCCAAGGCCCTGCCGCAGGAGCACGCGGAGTCTCCAGATGTGCAAGGCAGGTTGTCCGGAATTGAGGAGAGATACAAAGAGGTTGCTGAGCTGACCCGGCTGCGCAAACAGGCCCTGCAGGATACCCTCGCTCTCTATAAGATGTTCAGTGAGGCAGATGCTTGTGAGCTTTGGATCGACGAAAAGGAGAAATGGCTGAATAACATGCAGATTCCAGAGAAGCTGGAGGACCTGGAAGTGATCCAGCACAGGTGAGAATGCCTTTACCAGGAAGTTTGGGGAGTACTGGGTGGAAGTGTTTTACCCCAGCTACCTTTCTCAGCTTGCCTGTAGCTCAGATTCTCTAATGCCTGGGGGATCTTGTGTTTGTTTGTTTTCTCCCACTCCAGGTTTGAAAGCTTGGAGCCAGAAATGAACAACCAGGCATCCCGTGTGGCCGTGGTGAACCAGATTGCCAGGCAGCTGATGCACAGTGGCCACCCTGGGGAGAAGATCAAAGCACAGCAAGATAAACTCAACACAAGGTAAGTGAAAGCCTCGTGCTCAGGAGCATCACACCAGCTGGAACAAGTATGGTGGGGTCATTTGTTTTTCTTAAGCAGGCTTTTTTAAGATATTCTGATGCTGTTACCTGAAGAATCTTTAAGGCTTCAAAAGGAAAGAGTTGTGCCTTTCAAATACTTTATTATCAGGTGGAGTTTTGCTCTTGACTTAATCAAGCCCTGAGTGTGTCAGCACCTTGATTTGAGAGCTGGAAATTGACTGTAATAATTACTATGATAAAAAAGAAATCAATGTAGTTTTGTGTAAACTCCCACATTTTTTATCTTCAGAAGAAAGCAAGGGAGTGTGAAAAGTCAGTGTAAGTGCCAATTTTTCACTTGAGGAAAAATTATACTCTGTGTGCTGGTACTTGTCACATTCTAATACACACCATATCTGGGTTAATGATTGCTTTGCTAGAAATACTTATGGTATGGGAAGGACTGAGGAAACCCTGAGTAGCTGGGTTTACCAAGCTGCTGAGAGCAGCTGCTCACTCAGCAATGCTGCCACATCCTTTTCCCACAAATCTCAATTTCTCTGCTCTCCTCTCCTCACACATTTCAGGTGGAGCCAGTTCAGAGAACTGGTAGATAGGAAGAAGGATGCTCTACTCTCTGCTCTGAGTATCCAGAACTACCATCTTGAATGTAATGAAACCAAATCCTGGATCAGGGAAAAGACCAAAGTGATTGAGTCCACACAAGATCTGGGTAATGACCTGGCTGGAGTGATGGCCTTGCAGAGGAAGCTGACGGGCATGGAACGGGACCTGGTGGCCATCGAAGCCAAGCTCAGTGACCTGCAAAAGGAGGCAGAGAAACTGGAATCAGAGCATCCTGACCAGGCACAAGCCATCCTTTCACGGCTTGCAGAGATCAATGACGTGTGGGAAGAAATGAAGACCACCCTGAAGAACCGGGAAGAGTCCCTGGGAGAGGCCAGCAAGCTGCAGCAGTTCCTGAGAGATCTGGATGACTTCCAGTCCTGGCTCTCCAGAACACAGACTGCAATTGCCTCCGAAGATATGCCCAACACCCTGACAGAGGCTGAGAAGCTGCTCACTCAGCATGAGAATATCAAGAATGAAATCAACAACTACGAGGAAGATTATCAGAAGATGAGGGACATGGGTGAGATGGTGACACAAGGGCAAACTGACGCTCAGTACATGTTCCTACGCCAGCGCCTACAGGCTTTGGACACCGGATGGAATGAGCTTCACAAAATGTGGGAGAACAGGCAAAATCTCCTTTCCCAGTCTCATGCCTACCAGCTGTTTCTCAGAGATACCAAGCAAGCAGAAGCTTTCCTTAATAACCAGGCAAGTGATGGTCAAGATATACCTGACTTCATTTCTACAGGTTGGCACTGTGTACTGCAAGCAATTAACAGACAAAGTCTATTGGTGGGAGAGCCACAAGCAGACAACCCTTTTCTAACTGTATTTTATTTCAAACTGTTCTTGGGGAGTGTCTGTTGTTGGAGCAGCAGCATAGCCTGAGTGTAATAATTTTCCCTCTGATTTCTTTTAATCCCAGGAGTATGTTCTGGCACACACAGAGATGCCAACCACGTTGGAAGGAGCAGAAGCTGCTATTAAAAAGCAGGAGGATTTCATGACCACCATGGATGCCAATGAAGAAAAGATCAATGCAGTTGTGGAGACGGGCAGGAGACTTGTTAGTGATGGGAACATTAACTCTGATAAAATCCAGGAGAAAGTGGACTCAATTGATGACAGGTAAGGGCAGAATGATGGTAGAATGTAGCTGTTCCTCCTTTAATTCTCTTCTCTGAGAGATGCCCTTTCACCAGGATCTAAAGGCAGAGTAACAGCTTAGAAAATGTCTGTTCCAGACTGTTTTCTTTGTCTCATGGAAAAATAGGAACTGTCCTGTTTCAAGAATGTGCCTGGCTAATCTTAGTTAAACAATACCTTCCCCACTTTCTAGAGGCTTGGTAGGTAATGAGCTCCCTACCCAGAATTGAGTTGTTTGAGTGTTGCTTTGTAGTTCTTGGAGTATGAGCAGACTTGATGCTCTGGTGGGAGCTGTAGCAGTTGGCTGTGTCTGGTTCCACAAGTCTCAGTTTCCTCTGCTGCCCCTGAGCTGGTGTAATTACAATAACTTATTCCTTTGGAGAAGGAATGTGGCTCTTCAAGGGTGTAATTGGCATTACATGCACCCCACCCACTTGACTTTGATCACCTCTTCCAGCTTGTCTGGCCCCTCTGAGATCAGATTAGGAAGCACCACTGGTACAAATGTCTTTCATCCCAGAACAAGTCCTTTGCTTTCTCTCTCTGGCTGTGGCATGGATGCTATAGAACATTAAAAGTTTACTTTTCTTTGAAACCCAAATGTTCAGTTTTGATGGCTGTTGTTCTTTCTGCTTTTGGTTGGGATAACAGTGGAGTCTTTCAAGGCACTGTGAGTGTCAGAACACAGCAGTGAGCTGTGAAATGTCACTGATGACTCTCCCATCAGACTTGCATCCCCCCACAGCTGGGAAGTTCAGGTTCTCCTGAGCTTCATCTCCAAGGAGAAACTGAACTGGAGTAGTTCAGAAGATGTTGTACCTTTCCTGTTTGGGCAGAGATGTCCCACACAGAGATGTGTGTGCACCCACTTTAGCAATGTCTCGTGGCTTCAGGAAAGGCAGCTCTTCCTGTTCCCTGAGCTTGCTGAGGGCCTCTGACAGCTGAACCCCCAGGCTACCCCATGTTTCCATTCTGTCTCTCACCAGCTTGGCTCTGGATTCCAGAGAGAATCTGCAAAGCCAGGAAGAGATTACATGAAAATCAAGGGGGCAACTAGGACAGTGATTTTCCTTATTTACCCTCTCTAAGCACCCTCTACCACTTAGGAAAGCAGGAGAGCTTGATCCCAGCCTTCTGGTCAGGTGTCCTCTTTCTGCAACTTTTGGAATGAAAAGAAATCATCCAAGGATATCACAGCAAATGGCCAGCTGCATCTTGCAGCTAGAACGGCAGACGGCTTCAGCCCCTGTCCTGTGTGCTCTGCAGAGGCTCTGGTGGCTGTCACCCCAGTGCAGCTGCTCCTCTGTGCCCCGTTGTCCCTGCTGTCCTGCCCGTGGGACGTGTGCTGGAGCTCCTACTGGAAGTGAGCATTTCCTCAATTCCAAAGCTATTTATGCCGCGCGCTGCAAAAACCATCCGGAGCGCCGCTATCCAGGAAATCCGTGCGATTCCTCCCCAAATCTGGGGGGCTGATAAGCCTCCAGAACAAAGCCTTGGGGCTGCGTGCACTGGGAGGGGTAGCAAAGGAAGCCTCTTTGCTTTCACAAAAAGTGGCTCTCCCAGCTGAGCTCCACCTGGATGTCTAACAAAGGACCAAAACAAACAAGCACAAATATGTGCAGTGGCTCCGTACTTCCCATAGGGAGCTCTTTGTAGTTTCTGGTATTGTTCAGAGTGGGTTTTGTAGTGGTGCTTTTGAGCTGTTCCTGAGGAGACCCCACTGGCCCTGGTGCAGCAGACAGGCCCTGTCCTGGGATGGTTCCCATCTCAATAGGGATGGCACAAGGAGAAAAGTGCAATAGGAAAGAAACACTTCAGCACAACCTTTTAGTGCAGTTCACAAGCAAGAATGAATGAGCATAAGGACATGGAGTAAGGGTAAGGGAAGGAGAAGGTGGGTTTGCATCAAGCTATCTAGCTTTTCCAGCTGGGAGAGAAGCTGGTCTCCCTGTGCAGCTTTCTCTGCTTGGGTGACTTCTGCTGCTCTGAAGCAGTTTCTCCTCCATTTTCTCTTGGAAGAGTGTTGGGAAACTGCCCCTCTCCATGTGCCCGCTCATGGCCTCTGATTCTGCAAGGGAGATTTAGTCTAAAGACAGTGGCAGACCTGGCACAAATTGTGATCTGAGCCTGTTTTACATCAACTTTTGTATTTGTGCAACTTTCTGCTCAACAGAGAACAGAAGTAAGTTTTGTTCTTGCCCATTCAGAAGGGAGAGTGCCCTGTTTCCTGGAGCAATGAAAGAAGCTAAAACTGCCTTTCATATATCTCAGGATTCCTAGCAGTCAGCTGCATTCACACCATGTGTAAGATTTATTATTTCTGCACAGGCTTTGAAACCCACAGGCTTACAGTTAAACCACAAGTGGTTTTGTCAGTTTTCAGCACTGTCAGCATTCTCAGGGGCCTCTGGGAGTCAACCTGGGGACACCAGGCAAATTCTAGATTAATTTGTGTCAGACACCTCCTTGTGCTGAACAGATCTTACACTTATAGTGTAAGTCCTATGTGTGATACAGAATTCAAAGCCATTCTAAATAACTGAAGTCTGCAGAGCAAACTATCCTTCCACAAACTGTTCTGGCAAATTAGTAAGAAGCAGTCACTGACAACCTTAAGTGTGAATTCTTCAAAAGAATTTAGGGATATCTGAACAAGGAGTTATTGATATTTAGGTACAGCTAGTCTGAAGCAGGAGAACAGACTAAATAACTTCTTAAAATCCTTTATTCCCATTAAAAGGTCAGTGATGAAAACACAGGAATTCCTGTCTGTTCCAGCAGTGCCCATCCTCAAAATGCTTCTACTTTGTTATGGTTCAGCCCTGTTCTTCAGAGAAAACTCATTGTCCAGTCTCACTCCAGGTCATCTTGAACAAAACAACCTTGTACAGTGACATAGCTCTAAGCACCAGAGGTTGTATTTGTTATGCTATGGCATCATCTGTTTGATATCCCTGCATGGTTTCCTTCAAAGTCCTTCTAGTCAGTATTTCCAACACTCCTTGGGAGATATTTTTGTTAGTTTTTTAAAATTCGTGTTTTTTCAACATAAGAATTTCTGTACTTAAATCTATTCAAGCACCATGAAAGTTCTCCTTTAAACTTCATAACTCATGTCCTCTCTAGAATACATGAGTCTGTAATGTAATCTAGCCTTAAATCTCTGAAATCAGCCTGATAAAATCACCCAAGCTGTTCTTTGCTTCATTTTAACAACCTGAGTAATGCAGTGTGTTTGCCCAGGCATATAAAAGCCAGCCAAGAAAGAGTGGAATCAAACCCAGGGATGTTTGCCTCATTAGAGAAGTTTTTCCTAAGGCAAAGTTTGTGTCTTTTCCTTTGTGTTCCCTCTGTCAAAACTTCAGCATCACCTGGGCTTGGACTCCAGGCTGTTGCTTTGATGGTTGCACGTGTCTTCCTTGCCATGCAATCCATAAATCCTTTTCTTGACTACACCTATAGAGATGCTGCTTGCCTGGTTGCTTGAAGGCAGCTGTTGAGGCCAAAGAGAAGCAAACTGTAGTCCTCTAAAGGGTTTTCTCCTATTCCTCTGCCTACAGACCTTTTGTTTTTATAGAAAATGTGTCTCTAAGTATTCCTTGTGTTTCTGAAGTCACTAAATTGGTGCCAGAGAGCTTGCTGTGGTAACTTGCTGCAGATCAGGAAAAGTGGTGTTATAATCCAGTTGTCATCAACATGTGATTTATGGTCTTCTGGAGTATCATGAGTCTCTGGAGATCTCCACTAACAGGGATTTATTTAGCTTTTGCCAGCGTGTGCTGAGCTCATCTTATAAATTGCCACCCTTTAAAATAATTTCCAACTCTCAATCCATATTTATCTTATTACAAATGGCAGCAATATTTCACTTTAAACCCCTGTACAGTGCAATAGGAATAAGCCTAGCACAACGAGCAGTAATAAAAATTGTCTTCTTTACTCTGTCTCTTCCTTGTAAATTGCCTCATAAATAATGAAAGGATGGAAGGACAGAGATAACTACTCCAAAATAAGCATTTTTAAAAACATGCCCAGAGGTACCTTGGGAATCAGCCCCATTCCATTTGAAGGACCCACCACAACCTTTGGGACTGCCAGCGTGACTCATCTTCAAGGGACAAATGGTGATGAATCAAATTAGGGCTTCTGGATTAACCTTTCCTTCCTTCTGGCTGCTCTTAAACATTCTGAAAAATATGTTCCAAGTGCATAAAGCTTCTGTGTGCAGAACCACACAGGGGTGCTGCACGTGGTTAAACACAGCCTTGGGAAGGTTCTGTGGCCCAGCTCAGCTTTGTGCAGGACAAGGAGGTGCTGGAGGTGTTTTACAAAGAGATTCCAGCAGGTGCACCCTGCAAGGGCCACACAACGTCATCTTACTGTTGCAATTTGCAGTTTTCTTGTGTGTTTTGGCAAACAGCCTGAACTCTCCTGTGGGTTTAAAATGAGTGGGCCAAATTCTGTCCATAGCATGTTGTGAAACCCTGCTGACTTCAGAATGTTCTGTGTGTATTTAGCAGGTCACAAAAACAAGGAGATGTGGAGCTTCAGTGAGCCCATTAAATAACACACTCCAAAATGTCCTTTGAAAGGGAGCAAAGGACACACACCACAAACTTACCAGCACCTGTAGTCCAAAGAGGCTCCAGAAACCAACAGTGACAGTTTTTGTGAAATGCCTGTTTAATTTCCTTTCTCTGTTGTTTTTTTTTCTGACCAGACATAGGAAGAACCGTGAAGCAGCCAGTGAACTTTTGATGAGACTGAAAGATAACAGGGATCTCCAAAAGTTTCTTCAGGATTGCCAAGAGGTAAATCATGCCCTTTCACTTTTATTGCTTGAAAGCTGCCATCCTACAGAAGAGCATTCTTACTCCGTATTTTATGGGGACTGGAATGCTCAGTCATCCAGTAGTATTTAGTGTGGAGTAAACATAAAAAAAACCCTCACCATACCACTGCAAAAAAGAATGTTTTCTCTTTTCTCATGAATCAGATTTTCTTTTGTCATATAAGGTAAAGACATAGAAAACTGTCAAAAGCAGTGAAGATTTTCTGCTGTGATATAAATTATAACCATGTGGAATGTAGTGGGATTAGCAGTTTTGTCTACAGCTGTACAGATGGATATGGCCTGATGCAGGGAATTTCAAGTGATTTCTAGCAAACATTAGTCAGAACAATAGGAGGTTAAGAATAAAAAAGGAGCAAGATTAAACTGTGTCGTTTATGTGTGATTTACCTGATAGTTTACATGTGTTTAAAATTGTTAAGTATTATAACATTGGGAAAAAGAAATTCTTTCCAGATTTTCTAATCACTTACATGGACTGTTTACACTGAAGACAACATTTTAAAGTTTAGAATACTCTTGTTCCTAGCACAAGGAATTAATCATGTAATTTTCAGGTTATTTCATGGAGTACTGGCAGATAATAAAGAGCTTTGCCTGTGAGGTTTTGATCAGAGACTGGGGAAGTGATATTTGCTGCTTGGTTGCCTGGATTCAATCTGTTTCCAAGCATTGCATAAGCTGTCCATGAGCTTGCCTTCAATTGTTTCTTCCTTGGTAGTTAAAATATGACAGATTAGCAAAAAATCTGCTGTTATTAGCAGCAGCTTCTTCCTTCCTCTGTGACAGCTCTGGTTCAAAGATCCCCTGGCTCTCAGGGCTCTCTTGGCCTCAGTGTCAGTGTGGGTGTGTTCCCTAGGATCTGGTTATTCCCCCTATATCACTGGAAGAAAAAGGGAAGCATAAAAGCTCTAGTGTTGGCTGCCTGAATGCCTTTCCTCTCCCTTGTTTCTCTCCAGCCACTAAAACATGGGTGTCTCGACGCACAGTTCAAAGACAAACTTACAATTACCCAAATGTCAGGGATTTCTCCAATTCTCTTTGAGAGGACATTAGCTTTGGTGATAATTGAAGAGCTGTTTCCTAAGAAAATTTAAAATTTACGTCAGTGTGGGGCCTACTGACACCTCCTTTGGGCTGGAGGGTTTGTGATGAAGCAGCACTGTCCTGTGGGCTGGAAGGGAGCCAAGACAACATCTCCCCCTTGGCTTTTTCTTTAGCACTGCCTGTGAAGCTGGGAATTGTTAGGGAACAGCTTTGAGCCAGTCCCCATTTCACCTGGCAATGGGGCCTTCCTGCCTGCTGCTGCCTTTGGGACAGCTTCCCATCTGTCTGTAACCTGAGGAAAGGCAGAGTGTTTTCTGCAGCCCTTCCCTTCCCAGGGCAGCCACATTGTCACTGTCACCCCTCACTGAGGTGTTTAGGAGTGTGGTCTCCTGTCCCTTGCTCCTTCCTGCAGAGCTGGGGAGGAGGGTGGCACTCCAGAGCAGTGGGATAATGCTCCTCACAGCAGCTCAGCAGTGATAAACCCCCCTCTGGGGTCACAGGTGAGGGAAAACAGCAGATTTTGTTGTGGTGAGGAGTCAGAAACACTGTCACAGGTTAGTCCTGGGGTGCTGCTTTTTCGGCTGTTTCTTGCACTCATCAAGGTGAATGTGTAAAATAAATTTGCCAAGTGAATGAAATAGTGACAGCAGAAAATCCTGACTGGAGGAGATGTGATAAATGTTGCCATTTAGTTTTCTTTGTCTTTCTGCTCTTTCTCAGCTCACCTTCAAGGGAGGAGTTTATAGCTGTCCTTCCCTCTGAGAGCTTGGAAGTCTCAGCACTGTCTGGGCTCATTTCTCCAGGGACATGGTGAAAGCTCTTGGCAAGGCTCTGCACTCTGAGATTTCTCTCCTGGAGTGTGCTGGCAGGATTTGCCATGTGAGCCTCCCCACAGGACAGGCTGGCAGCTTGGCTCCTGGCACAGTCTGGGCAGTGCAGTGGCACTTGGAGCCCTTTCCCCTTGCCTTGCTGCTGCCCCAGGTTCACAAGGATTTGTCTCTGCATTTCCCTTCCTTCCTGCTGGCTTGGCACTGCAGAGTGGCAGCCAAGAGCAGGAACAGGGTCTTGTGTACAGGTGCAAAGGACGGAGGAAGCCTCATCCTCTCCTGACCTTAACAGCTTCTGGAGAAATAAATACTCCAAGTGTGATTTTGAGGCAATTTAGGGAACTGTTATTTTCTGAAAATCTACTTTCACACTCAAGGTACTGATTTTTAGTGCCTATAGTGGTTGCAACCCCCAAATTTTAGCAATGAGCCCCTAAAAACTTTATCTGCATTTCTGTGCTCTGAGGGGTTTATCCAACAGGCCCTGGCTGTGAACCACATGTTGTCCCTGTCTTGCCTTCCCCCAGCTGGTAACAGGAATGATCCAGCCTCTCCTTGGGAAGCACTTGTAAATCCCCAGAAGCCTTAATGCTGTGGCTGAGTAAAAGCAAACAGTGAAAGCCAAGCAGTGCAATTTGCAGAGCAGAGCAGCTGTCTCCTCCCCAGAAAGGCAAGAGTAAAACCACTAATTCTGGGTTATATCTTAATCTCCATGTAGACTTTGACTGTTCAGCAGCACAGTAGCCTGTTCTAATGCAACCTTTTACCTACAGAGCTCCTCACTGACATGAGCAATTTTCTGTTTAGACTTGATGGGAAGATCCAATGAGGAGTTTCTCTGATTGCTCTGATAGGTTTTCCCTTTTTGGGGAAGAGTGCATTTAAGGGACAATTGAAATTTTAAGTGGCAGTTGAAAAGAGGCTCATGAGTGATAAATGGAATTTGTTGCCCTGTGTCCTGAGCACACAGCAGAAGCCTCTGTTCGTCTCCTTTCTGGGCTGCTTGCTCACCCAAGTGCTGTTCTAGAAACCAAGCTGAGATTTGTTTTGACATTTTCCACTCTAAATATGCAGAAAATGGACCTTTTCAAATTCTGTAAACATTCCTGTGAATGTGGTTTTTATCCACACCTCAGGGATAGATGAGGCAGTCAGACTCACCCTGGGAGGAAATGTGATGTTGGCCGCTAGGATCATTTTCACATTCCATTTGCACTTGGCAAATCAACTGTCTCTTAAAGTATTGGTTTTCTCTAGTGGTGATATGGAAATTGTCCCCAGTGCCTTTGTACTTGCTGAAAATCAGACAGAAAACAGTCTTGGATTTTATATAATGGGAAAAGGAAAGTCTCCAGAACCAAAACACTCCTGGAGATTGGATAAATAAACAAATTACTTATGTAAACCTATACAGAGGAAAGACTGAGGGGAAAAGGTACAAATGTGCTATGAATTAATGGTACAAAACCATCTCTAACAACCTCCACAAAACCACCTGACCAATATGTAGTACACATGTCCCTGTTTCTCTTGCAGTTGAACTGGGTGGGACCTGTGTGTTTGATTCTGCCTACCATAGAGGTGATTCCTTTCTGCTTGAGTCAAGGGTTACTTATGTATTGGAGATGGATGTTAGAATTGAACTGTTAAAGAGGCAGATCCTTGGCTGAACCTTGAGTAAATCCCTGAGTAAGGGCAGTCTCTGAATCTCACACATCTCTGAATCTCTTTATCCTTGATCTGGAGGCATTTTGCCTCCTTGTTTCACACCAGGAATGTTTCCTCACAGCCCCATGTATTTTCCTTTCCAGCTCTCTCTCTGGATCAATGAGAAGATGCTCACAGCCCAGGATATGTCTTATGATGAGGCGAGGAACCTACACAGCAAGTGGCTGAAGCATCAGGCATTCATGGCAGAGCTTGCATCCAACAAAGAGTGGCTGGAGAAGATTGAAAAGGTAGGTAAAGAATATAAAAAAAATGCCCATATCTTTGTCCAGGGTGGTTGTGCACAGAGATGGGATCTGTTCCTCTGCAGAACTGGTCCTTAAATCACCCCACAGCTGAGGCTAAAGGAGATTTCTGGTGCATTGTGTCTCCATCCAACCCATTTTGTTCTTCATTGATGTTAAAAGTCTTTTATCCAAGGCATTCACTCAGTGCAAGTTTAGTTTTGTCTAGTCCTTCCTATCTGCCAGAAGGAAGGCAGAGCCTAAATTTCATACCCAAAGGGTAAGTGGGGCAAATGTTGGGATTTGAGCCAATGAAGTAGAAGCACTTCCCGGGAAATAACAGAATATAGAGAATAGCTGAGTTTATTCTTCTGTGCTGCTAAGCTGGCTTTCATTCATTCAGAACTATAGCCAAGCTGCCTTTCTCCATGCAAAATTAGGGCATGAGAGTTTTGTGATTAATTAAGATTCACAGCTCTGTATCAAGTTATTTGAAGCCTTAATATGCTGTGATGAGCTGTACTTCCCCCCCACCATTTCTCCTGTGCAGCTCTGGAGCACTGAGGAGTCTCCTCTTTAGCTCTGACAGTGGGTTTCTGTTCAGTGTAAGTTAGCTTAATTGCTCATTTCCTCTCCCACTTTGGCACTCCACATCCCATTAGAGGCTTTTCTGTGATCTACAAATAGCAATACCCTTTAATGGTGTAATTAGAAGGCTGCTCTTGGTACTGGAAGTTCCTTTTTAGTGATGCTAATACATCCCTCTCCTTTGCCTCTGAAAAATCAGATTGCAGCAAAGGATCAGGGTTGTGTACAGAGTTGTGACAGTCCCTGGATTAACATTCATATGGAATGTGCGGGTTGGGGGCAGCATTCCCATCTGCATCCAGCTGAAGAGATAGATAGCGATAATTAGAGTAAAGACAGTATTTCCCAAACTCTCCCATCACTATGCTGTGTGTTCATGGTTCTCTGGTGATGTGTCCCCCAGGAGCTGGGGCCTCAGGAAATGCAGTGTGTGCAGCTCTAACCCCCTGCTCCATCCTGCCTGAGCCATGGCCCCAGGAGCTCCCTTTGGGGAACATGTGCAATGGAGAAGAGAAAGGAGGCATTGCTTGACCTTCCCATCGCTAAAAATCCCTCTTCCAGGCAGCAGAGGGACCTGGGAGCTGATGTTCTGGAAGGAGTCACTGGGTAATTGGAGATAGAAAATGAGTGGTTGATGCTGCCAGCAGATGAGAAATCCTGAGTGCTTATTAATCAGGATAATTGCCCTAACGGGCCGTGAGTGCTCCTGAGGAGGTACCATTTGGTTGCTCTTTGCTTTGCAGGAGGGAATGCAGCTCATTGCAGAGAAACCAGAGACTGAGGCCGTGGTGAAGGAGAAGCTGACAGGTCTCCACCAAATGTGGGACGAGCTTGAATCCACTACCCAGACCAAGGCTCAGCGTCTCTTCGATGCAAACAAAGCAGAGCTTTTCACCCAGAGCTGTGCAGACCTGGATAAGTGGCTGAATGGTTTGGAGAGCCAAATCCAGTCGGATGACTACGGAAAAGATCTCACCAGTGTCAACATCCTGTTGAAGAAGCAACAGGTAAACAGAGCATGGGGTGCAGCGGGCAGGCAGCAGATACCTGCACTAAAAGGAATGGGCAGGGCAGGCTTTCAGTTTAGAAAAGAAAGAGCTGCTTTTCTTTCTTCCTATTATTTCATGTATCTTTAAGAAGAACAAGAAATGAATCCAGCAACAAATCAGACAGTAATTATTAATGTGGTAAATCCTCACTGACCAGCATCTGTTCTCCCTTCTGAGGAAGCTGTTGATGTGCCCTAATTGTATGAACAGCTTTCATCCTGGTTTTCAGGACCTTTTTGCCATGTTTCTGTTTAGATGCTGGAGAATCAAATGGATGTCCGTAAGAAGGAGATAGAGGAGCTGCAAAGCCAGGCAAGGGCTTTGAGCCAGGAGGGCAAGAGCACAGATGAAGTCGATGGCAAACGCCTTACTGTAGAAAAGAAATTCTTGGAGCTGCTGGAGCCTTTGAATGAGAGAAAGGCCAACCTGCTGGCCTCCAAAGAGATCCACCAGTTCAACCGGGATGTGGAAGATGAAATTGTGAGTATCAAAGAAATCCCATCCCCCAGGCAGTAGGAAAATGTTGGAATACTGCTGCTTTTTGCAGCCTGTGTGTGCCAGCCTCTCTCTGCTGTCCCAAGAGTATCTGGGGTTGCTTGAAATCATGTGTACTCTCTCTTTCAGTTGTGGGTCGGAGAGAGGATGCCCATAGCTACATCTACTGATCATGGACACAATCTCCAGACTGTGCAGCTACTAATAAAGAAAAATCAGGTAAGTAGGTGCTGTTAGAGCTCCATACCTGCTATTTCTCCTTAGTGCTGACTAATTTGGGAAGGACATGTTTGGAGTAAAACAATGGGTGCTGTGGCATGACCACAGGTGGTGGCACAGCCCCAAGTTGTCCACATGAGCTGATGGTGTGTGTTTTGCTGCCCCTCTGGAGTTAAGACCCCTGGCTTGTATTTTCATTTGTGCATTGTCTCATCAGTCAATTTTCTCCCATGTAGACCCTTCAGAAAGAAATCCAGGGCCACCAGCCTCGTATCGATGACATTTTTGAGAGAAGTCAGAACATCATCACAGAGAGCAGCCCCAATGCTGAAGTCATTCAGCAGAGACTTGCAGACTTGAAGCAGCTGTGGAGCCTCCTCATCGAGGAGACAGAGAAGCGCCACAAGCGCCTGGAGGAGTCTCACAGGGCTCAGCAGTATTACTTCGATGCAGCCGAGGCTGAGGCCTGGATGAGCGAGCAGGAGCTCTACATGATGTCAGAAGAGAAAGCCAAGGTGAGCAGCTCCACAGTGACACTACTTTGGCCTTAATTGCTTTGCTGGAGGGAGGCAAGTGACATAATTTGGTGTGGCGCTGTGGAATGGTAACATAAACAAATGTAACTTCCTGGTGAAGCCTCAAGTGATCTTGGCTTCTACCTGTTCTGACATCTTTGATAGTGTTCAGGATAGGCTGTGCTGTATGGAACCAGGGAAGCATCCTCGCACTGCAGAGGGCAACTCTGTGCCTGCCTTCACTGCAAGGTCAGGATTGCCAGTGTGGTCCAGTTAGGTCCAGTTTTCTGATAGTTCTGAATGACAGCACAATGTACCTGGCTGTGAAACGGGCCTGGTGGTCAGTCAGCTGCTCCACTGTCACCAACCTTGACTCTCAGTGACCATCAGCTTTGAGTCCCAGCTTCACACCATAACAAAGAGAACGTAAACTCCTGTTTTCCAAGGAGGTGCTGGAGCTTGTTTGTTATCAACATAAATGCACCATGTTTCCTGTCCTGGTAAAATAAAGCTCAGCTTTATCAGGAGAACACATTCCACAGGTGTTCAGTCTCCAGCTAAAAATGGCTTGTTTTCTTTTTATCTATTGCAAATAGCTCACTATGCAAAATATTGTATTGAAAAGATTTATTGACAATATCAGTTAACACTGAGAGTAGGAGGCTGGTTTTCTTAGCTATAACAGTGCATAAAAAGTTTCAATTGGAACTTCTCCAGACACTTTGATGGACAACCCATTGGCATGGCCTGTGTAGGATTTCTTTTCTTTGCCCCATGCTGTTGTTGAGATGCCTGACAAGTGATGTGTCTTAATTTATTCCATGTTTCTGGGCCCTGCACCAGTGTTGTGGAAACACATAAAAAGCTTCATAGAAGAGGAAACTCAACATTCTCAATGCCCAGCTGATGTAATTTTGTTCTGCACCCCAGAGGGATTGATGTATTATCTCTTTCAGTTATTATTTTGCTTTCTGGGTGTATTATTTGCTGTGACATCTACTGTACTATACCATTGGCAGAAGGACTTGTCTTCAAGCTGTACTTGGGAGCAGCTCCTTATAATTCTTCCTGTCATTTTCTGTCACTCTTACAGGATGAACAGAGTGCAGTGTCCATGCTGAAGAAACACCAGATTTTGGAACAAGCAGTAGAAGATTATGCTGAAACTGTGCACCAGCTTTCAAAGACCAGCAGAACTTTGGTGGCAGATAATCACCCAGAAAGGTATTAACTGCTGTTTTTAATTGGATCATGAATTTTTTTAGCAATTCAGTCCCTTTGGGTGGTTCTGACACACAAAATCCACCACAGAGAGTAAGTAGCTCAGAGACTCATACAGAAGGAGTTTAGCCTCAGTCAATTCAAGGTGTCAGTTGGACCACCCTGATTTGGCCAGAGACAGGGTCAGTGTGTGCAGCTGCTGATTCTGGTGGTTCTGGACACCTGGAGTACCTGACCCCTGTGCAGGCTGCAGTGTCAGGTCTTGCCAGCATCTGAACATCACAGAGGCAGAGCAGTCCTCAGGCCAAGATCCTGATCTGCTTTTTCAACCAACTTTAATCCAGCAGAGAAGGTCACTGTCATTAATCCTGCAGAGCTCCCCAAGATCTGCCTCTTCTCTATGAGATTCCAGCAGAATCAGAGCCTGGAATCAGATGCTTTAAACATGGGCACATTAACATCTTACTTTTGGTAAATTTATCTCACTTTTCATAAATGGCTTTCCCTGAGGGAGAGCTCAGGAAGCCTAAGAACCATTTTGCCATAAGAGCTGCAGCTCAGCAGACAGAATTCTCCACTAGCTTCAGCTGCAAAGCTGATTCCACTCTGAGGCTGATGTATTTAACTGCTCAGCCTGCACAGGCTGGAAGGTGGCACTGGCCTAGGCCAGACACATTCTGCCTCCAGTGGAAGGTTGTTATTTAACTCTAAAGCACTCTCTTGTGGTCATGATCACTTCTGATGAGAGCAGATTTCCTGGCTGAGCTGTCTGAGTACTGGAATAACGTCATCAGCTTTGCAAGGCAGATGGAAGGCACTTTGACAGCACTGTATGGCTCAGACAAAATAGAGGCAAAAGATACAGCAAGTAGAAAGATTCATCTCTTGTGCAGATGCTGAGCTTTAAGGGGTAAGAAACCCATGAGTGCTGCTGAACTCTGAAGCAGAGTTTAACTGAGAAGGAGCTGCTCCCTGCCTCAGCAGCTCAGATCTTGCCTGTAGCTTTGGTAGAAGACTCTGGTGTGATCTGTGTCCAGACAAATGGAGAGCTGAGTTCCAGCTCCTCTCTCTAAAGCCAGGGGTTACAGTGCAGGACAGACAAGCTTCCCAGCTATTGCTGTCACCTCTGCTAGCAGAGGATTGGTCCAACATGTCCGAGTTAAATTCCTGCCTGCGGCAGATGCGCATTCTGTAGGTGAAATACCCCAAGGAACTTTTATTCCTTGCAGTTTGGCCCATTTGGTTTTGCTTGCAAAGGCAATGCAGACTCAGTGCTGTTTGCTTTTCCAGCGAGCGCATCAGCATGCGCCAGTCCAAGGTGGACAAGCTCTACGCGGGCCTGAAGGACCTTGCAGAGGAGAGGAGGGGCAAGCTGGACGAGAGGCACCGGCTTTTCCAGCTCAACCGCGAGGTGGATGACCTGGAGCAGTGGATTGCCGAGAGGGAGGTGGTGGCGGGGTCCCACGAGCTGGGCCAGGACTACGAGCACGTCACGGTGAGTCCTTGGAGAGGCCTCTGGGGCTGCTCACAGGGGGTGGCTTGGCTCACTCAGCGCTCTCTAACCACAGTGCTGCATGAGGCTCTTTCTGTGCCTTCCAGATGTTGCAGGAGCGGTTCCGGGAGTTCGCCCGGGACACCGGGAACATCGGGCAGGAGCGGGTGGACACTGTCAACCACATGGCTGATGAGCTCATCAACTCCGGCCACTCGGACGCTGCCACGATCGCCGAGTGGAAGGACGGACTCAATGAGGCCTGGGCGGATCTCCTGGAGCTCATTGACACGAGAACACAAATCCTTGCAGCCTCTTATGAACTGCACAAATTTTACCATGATGCCAAGGAGATCTTAGGACGTATCCAAGACAAACATAAGAAACTGCCCGAGGAGCTTGGTAGAGACCAAAACACAGTGGAAACACTACAGAGAATGCACACGACGTTTGAGCACGATATCCAGGCCCTGGGCACCCAGGTGTGTGGCAGGTGAACTGTGGGTGTGGGAACCTGAGCTGCAGAGTTGGCTGCTGCCCTTGGCCCCTCTGTGGCTGGGAGACAGAGTGCTGCCAGCTGCTTCCCACCTGTAGTGCAGTGGGAATGGCCTCACCTGCATCCTTTTCTTATCTGTCTGGCTGCTGCTCTGTCACTGCATTGGGGTGACTATCTAAAGCAGCAATCTGTAAGTACACGGGCTTCTGAACATGTTGGCAGTTGTTGGATGTCATTCTGCTTCCTGTCCTTGGTTGAAGAAGAAATGAGAAAGGCAGAGAGCTTCTGTGTTGATTTAGAGTACAAAATATGAAGGAATGTATAAGCCTGGCTGGCTTTTTGATGTTTGGTTTTATTTTGGTTGGTCAGTTTAGTTTTTTTTTGTTTTTAAAAACACCAAAAAGCCCAAATCAAACCCTTTGTACCAGGCACTGTTTATTTTTCCTTTCTGAGAGGCAAAGACCTACCCAGAGGCTTTCTGTCTTGGTTATGAACCTGGGCATTCTGAATTAAATATGGCCTTTCTTGGTGTGTCCCTAGAGCAAAAGAGATTTTAAAGCCACAGTTCAGGCTAAAATTTTTAAAAGCATCCAAACTTGATCTAATTCTGAATTTTTGAAGCTAAGATATGCCAAGTAGAAGGTGGCAGCTGCTCATACAGCACAGGGGGGATTCTAAACATTCAGCTGCCACAAGGAGAATTTGGGAAGGGAACAAGTTGCTTAAGGAATGGAGGAATTACAACTGACTGTATTTATCTCAGTAGATCAGGAAAGAGCTTTTATGGCCCAGGCCAGCCAATTCTCTGTTATGTTGCAGTTTACACTAAAACAAAGGAGATAGAAAAAGCATTTGATTTTCCAGGTGTTTTACTTTCAGAAGCTGTAGATTTTATACAGAAAATGGGAGACATTCACAAAACATTAATCCCAGTCTCTCAAAAATGTAATTATAATCAAGACCTAAGTGAAAGAATATGTAATCACAGCACAGAGCTGTGGGCAAGGCACTTAGGATAATTTCTGGGTGAAACAGCCAGAGCACCAAGGTGGATCATTTTGAGAGAGGCATGGTCTCTGTGCCTGTAGGTAGAAGGCTGTTGATTTGATGTTAAAAAATATTAATTCTTAGACAAAAGCTAATGGAATGTTTCCTGGCTTGCAAAATATTGAAAGCAATCAGGAATTAGCAATTGCAATCCCAAGACAGTGTTTGAAAGGGAAAGATTTCTAATAGTAGAAGGTTCTTAACATTTCCACATTTTCTTCTCTTTGAAATCATTGTCTACATTTTTGAAAAATGACCTCTGTCAGATGCATTAGTGGTTTGGATACCGAGTTCTCAGGTGCTTTTGCTTCTTGTGTGAGAGGAAGGGAATTAGATTATGAAAATGGTCTCTGTTTGCCCTGACATGTAACTGGCACTTGCTTTTGACACTGTGTCTGGCAGCGGGTTCAGGCAGTGGCAAATCTTTGCTATTTTGGGGGTCCCTTGGCCCTACAGTGTTCTCTGAGGGATAATACTGGCTCACTAACAGCACAGACCTTTCTAGTGTGAACAGACCAAATCCATTTGCAGTGACTTTAGAAAGCCTCTCAAGTGATGAATTAGCAGATAAGTGTCCCTGTAGCTGTGACTCAGGAGTCACAAACCCGCTGATGGCTTTGTCTCTCCCAACCTGCTGCAGGTGCGACAGCTGCAGGAGGATGCAGCGCGCCTCCAGGCTGCCTACGCCGGGGACAAGGCTGATGACATCCAGAAGAGGGAAAACGAGGTCCTAGAGGCATGGAAGGCACTGCTGGATGCCTGTGAGGGCCGCAGGGTGAGGCTGGTGGACACAGGAGACAAATTCCGCTTCTTCAGCATGGTTCGGGATCTCATGCTCTGGATGGAAGATGTTATCCGGCAGATAGAAGCCCAGGAAAAGCCAAGGTAATGCAAGGCATCCCTTCTCCATCTGAAGATAAGGCTGCAGGTCACCTGAGGAACATCTGTGGGGCTCAGTATCACTGAGAGTGGCTTTCAGAGCCTGCTGCTGCAGCAACTTGCTCATGTGGGTGGCTGCTGGAATAATTGCCATGGAAAATTGTACCCAGAGAGATCTGGTCTCACACCGGGGTTATTTGATCTCTGATTCAGGCCAGAATGGTGCTGTTCCTTGGGAAAGGCTTCCTGAACTACAAAGACAATCTAGGAATCAATTTTTTCCCTATGGAGTTGTGGGTCAATTTTAAAAATGTAGCTGCTGTTGAATCAGAAATCCGTGTTTCTGGTCATTTTAGGGATGTTTCATCTGTGGAACTGCTCATGAACAATCACCAGGGGATCAAAGCAGAAATTGATGCCCGAAATGACAGCTTCACTACGTGCATTGAGCTTGGCAAGTCTCTACTGGCCAGGAAACATTATGCATCTGAGGAGGTACCGTGCTCCCTGCATACAGCCATGGGCTCCTGGGGGTTCTTTACAAGGGAGAAACCTGCCCTGTGTCACCCACAGGGGAATAATGACAAGTGTCACCTTAGGGACTAGTGCACTCATGTGCTGTTGGGACATCAGGGTATAAATTCACTCTGGCAATTCATGGTGGGTAACAGAGGTGACATCAGGATTTAAAGTGTTATTTTCAGCCCAGAAAATGCAAAGTTGCTGCATTCCATTCTGCAGAGAATAGCTCTGGGATAGAAGGGTGTCTTCCTTGAGCAAGGGCAGAGGCAGCTGTGAGACAGCCTGAACTTCCTGCAGGGAAAATGGAATGCTGTGGAGAGGCCTGCTAGGGGAATGAGCAGGAAAATGTTTGTTGTATAGGGACTAAATTCAAGGAATGTTAAGAGAACCACATCCAACTGCTGAAAGCCTTGATTTATTTTCTGAGGTGTCTAGGCCACAGGATAGAGGCTCAGACCTTTCTTCTCCTGCCTCCCTTTGGGGAAGGGAGGGTAACCAAACATTGTGAGGCACTTCCCTCTCAGGAAGGGGAGAGCTTCTGCAACTGTCCTGAACAGCATTATTATTATTATTTTGCATTATTCACTGGAAAAGGGTAGAAGATTCAGTGCCTGATTGCACTATTTACATTTGTTTGCCCATTACACCCTTTTATCAAATACCCCATGTGCAGTAGCTTTTAACAGACACTGAATGCTTATGCAAATGTGATATTTTAATGGAAATGTCACATTTATTTATACTTGGAAGAGAAAAACAGCTGTTGTTTGCACGGTGAAGTCACTTCCTGAGGAATTTGTGCAGTGTCTGTCAGTGCAGGGTTGGGGGGAACTGCTGCCTCTGCTGCTTTTGTAACAGCCCTGCTCTCTGCTCTCCATCCAGATCAAGGAAAAGCTCCTGCAGCTGACAGAAAAGAGAAAAGAAATGATTGACAAATGGGAAGACAGATGGGAGTGGCTGAGACTGAGTAAGGACACCCTTGGATTTCTTTTGGGCTGGGCCTTATCTAACTTTCTTCATTGTGCCTTCTGAGCGTTGAAAAAAACCTGCAGCTTCTGGCTTTTCTGTTACAGTGCTTGGAAGTGTGTTTGTGCTGGAATAGCTGCAAGGTTCACACCTGTTTGTTGTTAAATAATGAATTTGAAACCAAGAAACCCTCACCAAAGGTCTTGCTCTATGTGATCAAATTTGGAGCTCGGTGCAGTAGCTCCACTGTATTTGCAGGTGTCACATTCCAATTTCTATGCTGAAATTAGTAAGTTACAGCAGATTAGAACAAAAAACCACACTAAATTTGCAAAATGAAACTTGCATTTTTCCTAAAGCAAAGCCAATAGGAGAAATGTCAGTCTTTTCAGTGACCAGTTTCACTGAACTTAGCTAAGGGGAGCACTTAGCCAGGTGCCTGTACTTTGTTCCCTGAGCTGGGTTTGGTAAATCCCAAAGCTGCCTGACGACTCCACGATGCTCTTCTTTGTGACATTAATGGCACTGACACCTGTGCCCTCTCTGCTCAGTTTTGGAGGTGCACCAGTTCTCCAGAGATGCAAGCGTGGCTGAGGCCTGGCTGCTGGGACAGGAGCCCTACCTGTCCAGCCGTGAAATAGGGCAGAGCGTTGATGAGGTGGAGAAATTAATCAAGCGGCACGAAGCGTTTGAGAAATCCGCAGCTACCTGGGACGAGAGGTTTGCAGCGCTGGAGAGACTGACCACGGTGAGTGTCTGAACCTGCCTGGCCATTCCTGGTGCTGTGGAACAACTCCCAGCATCACCAACTTCATCTCCATCTTTTGGTCGTTTGTTGATCATGCTCAGCCAGTGACACAGAGCCTGAAGTTTCCTATTTCCAGCCATACTAAAAACCCTCTTTGGTTAATTTGAACTCAACAATCTGGAGGGAAAAAGCCTAAATGATAAATGACCTTAAGAGTCAGCAGGAGCTGTCTCAAGCCTGGGTGTGATGACCCAGAAGAAAATTTCACTTTGCTCCAGCCCTCTGCTGTACTGGTTGTCCAGTTATTTTTGGTTAAAGATGACAGTGCTGGGAAGGGGGCAGTGACAGTGATTTTTGTTGTGTTGTGACTGCTCCAGTGCAAGGCTCTATTGTCCTCTAGGAAGACACAATGAGCAAAAAAAAAAACCCAAACCCCAATTTGAACACAACTGCAGTGTCAGTCATTAATGCTTGGAGAGCATTTCACCATATTTGGAGAACAATTTGGCTTTAGACACTAAGTTGAAGTGGCCTGGGTTTTCACACACAGTGTCACAGCTGCAGACAAAAGGAACTGGAGTTTCTCAGCATCTTCACAAATCAGGCTGGCTTTATGGAGATGGGTAATTTCAGGGATTCAGACAGGAAACATTTTATTTCTGTGTTTGGCAAGCAGACAAGAAGATGTCACTTTTGGATATTTTAATAACTTGGGCTGTTTTCTTGTTTGTCTGGGTTTTGTTCTAATAGAATGAGTTGGAAAATAGACATGGCCAGTGGAGAGCTGCTGTCAGAGGGTCTGATGCTGATGCCCTCCCTGACAAATTCAGTGCCACAAATGCTTTTAAAGCCTGATGCCTTCCAATTTTATCACCATTCACTTTAATTTCAGTAATGTTTCAGAAAAACATATAGAGTTGTTGCTAGTTTCTAGAACACCCCACAAAAAATGAGCAGTGTTTTGAAATAAAAAATGTTCCCTCTCCCAGCTGGAACTGCTGGAAGTGCGTCGGCAGCAAGAGGAGGAGGAGCGGAAGAGGCAGCCGCCCACTCCGGAGCCCAAGGTTGCAGAGGATGGAGACTCCCAGCAGCAATGGTGAGCTGGACTCTGCACTTCCCCTGGGGAGCCCTTGGGCTGAAAATGTGCTGTAAGAGGAGAGGAGGTTGTATGGGTTTGTAACATGACCCTTGTTAGAAGGCTTGGTGGTTCATGGGCACAGGACCTCTCCCAAACCCCTGAATTCTGTGCCAAGTTCCCATTTTCTTCGGGTTGTCACTGCTGAGGCATCCCTGGCCCAAAAGTGGGAATGCTGCTTTTGTCCCCTGGGCCATGAATTGCAGTTTCTGAATCAACTTGCCTTTTCTCTTTGATGAGCATCATTTACAGATTTTAAGCCATTTATGAAATTGCTTATGTGATAGAGAAGGTTTATTTGTAAAGTAACTGTCAGTAAAGTCAGGTTAAATCTCACTTCACTCTGGATTTATTCAGTCGGGTCTGAGGATTTTAGGAACATGCTTGGATTTCTTAAATTAATATTCTGTAAGAAAATATCATTTTGTTGAACAAGGTGGGTCACTTCCAAGAATCTTACGCAATTTCTTTTCTTCTTCCTCTCTCCAACAGGGATGGAACAAAAGGAGAACAAGTTTCCCAAAACGGTTTGCCCTCAGACCAGGAATCTCCACGGGTTAGTTACCGCTCCCAAACCTACCAAAACTACAAAAACTTTATTAGCAGACGGACAGCCAATGACCGCTCGTGGTCTGGACTGTGACCCACAGAATCACTTGCAGCAACAGAAACCTTTTTTCAGTATGGTTTACTGGTACTGGTTTAATCTTTTGGCTTCAGATTTCCCTGCTGCTTTTCTCTTCCTTCCCATCAGTTGACTTTTATTTAATTAGCAGCCCCTTGGACATATATTTGCTTCACTTTGATCTTTGTTTATTTGAATCTCCCCACTGACACTCAGTTGCTTTAAGGTGACACATTTATTTCATGTTATTTACTGTGAGTTTTTCATGTCGCTAATAGTATTAAGATTTTCCAGCGAAAGCGTCCTTTAAATGAGTAATTGAGATGTAATGAGATTACATCCTAATGAAGAAGAGCACTAGGACCTGACAGGTATGACGCATCGAGTTATACTAACAGGTCTCAGCACGGCAACTTTATTAAATCAGCTGCATTAGCAAGAGTTATGTACCAGGCCAAAGATAATCCACATGAGTGAGCTGGGCAGGAAGGGCTGGGAGGGGGGGGAGTGTGACTGTGGACAAATAAAAGCCTTAAGGTTAGTTTGTATAACATTCCATGCAGAATGGACTCATTGACTGCAGAGACAAATAAACGTGAAATAAACCATTCAAAACCAGTATCTAGATTTATCTGGGAGTTTAGTCCTCATGCAGAGCTGTGATCTTGCTGTGTTGGGGCTCCATTTGGCCTCAGTCCTGTCCAGCTGGTACTTCAGCAATTTTATTTCTGGCCACCAGAGAGGCAGGGGTGTAAATGAGAGTAGAGTGTAACCCCTTGGGGAGAGGATATGATGCTTTCCTTTAAAAACTAAATAAAATACACTAAGATCCCAGCTCTTTATTTTACATAGGTGCAGGCTGAATGCTCCATGCCTTACTCGCTCCTTCTTGACAAGGGGTGTCCCAGTGGAGTCAGGATGCATGCCAAGAATCCTCACATGCAGCCATGACAATGCCAGTAAATGTCCCTGGAGTTAATGCAATGCAGGAGCTGAATCTGGCTCCCCTCCCCACCCCCTTCCTGCAGAGCCTCCTTGTTTCAGTTATTGCTTTGAGTGAAAGGACACTTCTCTTTGTTGCTGAGCCTGGCCCTCTGGGGTCACATTCAGTGCAGGAAAGGCTCCTGGCAGGCTGGGATCTGTGGATATCAGGGCTCTTACAGTGCTGCAGAGCAAACACGAGTCCCAGCCGAGGGCTCTGGCAGGAAATGCCTTTCAGCACAAGTTTGGCTTTAAGAAGCCCATCCTAGTTAGGTCTGAGTCTGCACACACACTCTGCCAATGCTCCCCAGTACACAGCAGTTCCTTTCTCTTTCTGGAAATAAGACCTTTTGGTTCTTCTTTAGTATTCAGCCCTGAAGTGAGCTTATTGCACATTCTAATGCTTGTAAATTCTCTACAGTTGTGGCAGGGAATGTGAGGTGCACATCCCAGATAACCATCTTGTTGGTTAGCACAGCCTTACACATCACCTGTTTGCTTCTTTTGAAATTTTATTTTATTGCCATGCTACATGATGCATTTCCATGTTCATCTTTGCCATCTGCACTTCAGTCTTCCATGAGAACTTCCGAGCTCAGTTTGTTGAGTCCTGTGTTGCAATACCTTGGGTGTACAGAGCTGTGTCAGTGAGGCACAAGATGTGCTGCTGTTGGTCAGAATTTTGGTTTCTGACAACTGGCTGAGCAGTGCAGCTGGATTGTTCTGTGTGGGCTGAGCTTGTGAACTGAGAGCGGTGATTGAAAGGATGTGCTTCAGTAACTGTACTTTTGTCTTTCCACTTCATGATGCATGTTTTGTTCTTTTGTTTTTGTTTTTTTTTCTTTTGTCAGGATAACAACATATAGCTTCTTAATGCTTTTAAAAATTCCATTTATGGGGATGCTCTGGTGGCTGCCCTGTGCCTTGAAAGTGTGTCAGTTCCCAGGGCAGGGTAGCTGTAGCTTCAGACTCCACCATCTGCAGAGCCTTCACATGTGTTTTGGTGAAAAAAGTAGTCTGTAGAAGGAATTTATAGAGATAGATTTTTAAAATTTGTATTAGTACACACATAAAAATTCCACTTTTATGACAATGAAGAAAAAGTAAGTCATTGATTAAGGTCATCATTTCAGGCACTAGAAGAATAGGATTTTGCCTATATTTTGCTGCCGTTGGGTCTGGCCAAAGACATTAGGAAGGTCCTTTTGAGAGAACAGCCTAGAGGTTGGCATCTCTTTGCATCTGCACCAGGCAAATCATCTGATTCTTCATCTGTGGGGCAGAGCCTTGAGTCGATGAACTGAGCAGATGTTGCTTCAAGCACTGCGAAACCCAAAGGGGCTCCTGTGTCATTGTCACCACCTGTCTTGTTGCATGTCCCAGTCCTGCTTTAAAGATTTCCAGAGTAGCCTGTAGCCACTAAAGCACTTCCAACTAACCCCTCAGGCCCCACTGAGAGAACTGTATCATGTACACGAGACCTGTTGTGTTGTAACAGGAGTTTGCTGTTGCTGTTTGTCCTCCGTGGCGTTGTCTCCGCATGCCCCACGCATGTTTCCATTAAAGTGTGTTCAGCTCCTGTTTTTTCTCCGTTTTCATGACACATCCTTCGCTGAGCCGTTCATGATTTATTTTGCTTGTTTTCTGTTAATTGTAGATAACACGTGAAAGGAAATAAAACCTGAAAGAGCATCAGAAAAGCTTTTCATAGCCCTTTTACAACCGGTAGAATTTGACATAGAAGGTGCAGGTCTGATGGTGTAATAAAGTTGGCAGTTACTTTTCAAAGCCACGGGGTTGCAGCACTGAACTCCATATTATTTCCTATAAAATATGTTGAGCAGCTGTGCAGTGGCTGCTGGTTTGAAACTGGTCTGGTTTACCTCAGATTAGAGGTTCTAGGTACCCCCAAGGCAGTCCTGTTTTCACATCTGGCTGGTACTGCTCCAGCAAATGCACTGCTTTCTGTGTCAGTGCAGGGGCCAGGTATTTCTGGGGAGTTTATTTAAGTTGTGGAGATGAGTTCCTGTGGGTTGTGTGATTCCTCAGTGCTGGTAAGAGGTGTCAGGTCCCCCAGACAGGGCTCCAGCCAGCAGCAAAGCAGAGTTTGAGGTTCAGGAGCTGCAGTGGACAGAAAGGTGTGCAAATGGCTCTCCTTGTTCTTGAAGGGATCTGTTGGCTGTGGGTGGTTGACACGGGTGATGAATGGTGACTCAGGGGTTGTTCATTCCATTACCTGTGTTCTGGCAGTGTTTGGATAAACTTCAGCCTCATCTATTTACCCTCTCCCCCACTTTAATGCAACATTTCTGTTATATTTTGAGATTTGGGTACAAGTAGTGAGGGTTGATGGCTTCGATTGATCCTAATTGTGAAGGAGCAGTGTAAGGCTATGTGTCTTTAGGGACAGGGTAAACCAGATCTGACTGAAGTGCAATGTGAGCTGTGATTCTCTCTCTGTTTAAGGGCATAGTGTCTGTACTCTGGAGGTTTAGATTGCTAAAGGCAGTTAACCAATCCTTCCCATGGTCAGAGCAAGCTGACACTCAGATCATTATAGGCCAGTGGTGAGGTTCAAGGTGTGAGGCACAATAATGGATACTGGGCAGGTGTAAGAAGTTCTAGCAAATGGTGGCAAAATTGAGTTTGTTGCATAATAATTTGGCTGCTTTTGATTTGTCCAGGCCATGTGCAGAAGTAGGAATGTCTAATTATTGTGCCATTCACAAAAACCTGCTTGTCTGCATAAAACCAGTCCAGAATGTTTGTAATCTACTAGAGCATTAGCAGCACTGAGCTTTAGTAACTTGCTAATAATAATCCTACACACTGGTTGTGTAACTCCTGAGCTGCTACCAACGGCTCTACACGTCAAAGTAATGGTACAAGAAAAAAAAAAAAAACTGGGACCAAGCTGCATTTCAAAAGCTTATAGCCATTAGGATTCCAATTTAAATGATTTTTGGATGAATGGCTCCTGAAGACGTCGCCAGCTTGACCAGTGAGAGCTGCTGGAAACACGGCTGCTCTCTAGGCTATCGATCCCAGTGCACCAGGCAACGCGACCAACAAAGCAAGTGATGGGCAAGGCCTTGGTTCTGTCTTTGTTTGGGGGTAAATAGCTGTGTGATGCTGTGTGACTGTGGTGGTTTTCAGTTCCTTTAACCAAAATCCAATCCACCTAATAACGCCAGTCTGAACCAGACCTCGATCAATTGACACGTGACCTCATTCCCCTTGTCTTTACGATCCAATATCCTAACTGGGATGGTGGAGATGCATGGTGTAATCTTTCTAATTTCTGCATGTTTTGATTTTGTTGTGTCACTAGGGGAACTGGGGAAAGCGGGAAAGGAGCTTTTACAGAAACAAATCAATTGCACACATTTTTGTAAATGCTCCTGGGCGATTGTGACATCTTTCTCTGCTGACTCATAGTTAATACCTTTTATGGACCTTTAATGCCCCAGTAATGCCATAAATGTACTTAAGGTGGCTGATGTGTATAACTTCTACTGTTCCTCTAGGTTTGCAGAAAGTGTGATTGTTACTGTTCCAAACATTTGAGTACTTAGCAACGGAATTAAATGCTCTCATTCTAGGAATAACAATATATAAAAGAATTGACCAGCAGAGCAAAGCACAGTAAAATTCACACTGATGTTCAGCTGCTTTTATTTTCCCATCTCTCCACCTATAAAATGGGTACTAATCCATTCCTACCTCCTAATTTCCTTGGCCTCCTGTGTCTTCATGGAGTGCGAGAAAGAACTTACTGGCCTGTGTCATTGTCCAGGCAAAGTTTATACACAGCCACGTTGTGCAGGGAGACAGATTAACTGCAGAATGCCTCAGTGCTGGGAGCTTTCTGGCTGAACGTGTTTTCCACTGTTCCTAGGTGGCAGAAACTGCAGAAACCAACGAAATGGTCAACGGAGCTGCAGAACAGAGGACGAGTTCCAAAGAGTCCAGCCCCATTCCTTCCCCGACGTCAGACCGCAAAGCCAAGAGCGGCGTTCAGGCCCAGACTGCTGCAACCCTCCCAGCCAAAACGCAGGAGATCCCCTCAGCCCAGATGGAGGGCTTCTTGCACCGCAAGCACGAGTGGGAGACACACAGCAAGAAAGCCTCCAGCAGGTACAGTGCCCGATGTGCAACACGGGCAGGGCGGCCCGGGGCTCTGCCCAAGAAGGCACACAACCATCTCCAGCCTTCTTTCAGCTCCCAGAGACCTCCCAGGCTCCTGTTGCTGTAGGGGTGGGGCTGCAGGGCTGAACAGCGCATGTGAGGAGCTGCAGTCTGAAGATAGTTGGTACAAAAGGCAGCGTTAGCCACATTTGTCAGGTGGGAAACTGAGGCAGAGAGATACCACGAATTTCCCACTCCACATGATGGATTTGTGTCAGTAGTGGGATTTGATTCCAGATCTCTCAAGTTGTATGTTACCACAAGAAAAGAAAACCACGTAGGTGTGAGACTAGAAATGTTCATATTCTTCTGACATTTTCTATTTGCACATTACCACTTTCCACCTACTCTGTAATCTGCTCAGCATGAACAGAGGACGATTGGTGTACCATAGTCAATTCCATTCCTAAGGAATGTCCTGCAAGTCTCAAACAGGCAGAACTTTGAGATTTGTCTGTGCTGAAAAAGCTGACTGGGGTCAGCTGAGACAACTCTTGAAACCAGATTTATAACTTGGCTGACAAGGGAAATGTTCATAACAAGTGCTGAGCTGCAGCAACATCTGTGGGATTTGGTAGGAGCCAAAGCACTTGGCAGAGCTGAGATCTCAAATGAGTACAGCAGTACCAGGATTTTTGTGCCACTGGAGTTCTTCACACCAGACAGCACCTTTGAGGCAGTGACAGCCACCAGTACCAGTGTCTGGGTATTCCTCTTTCCAGTAATTGCTAATTTTCACCGTTCTATTAGAGAACGAGGTGGATGATGCCACTAAGAGTATTTGTGTCAATCAAGGATTTCACACACAGTCCGTTCCATTCCATTCATCATTTTGCAGCACAGTGAGAATTCCTTCTACAACAGAGCACTGCCATTAAAAGGTCAATCATTTTCTGTCTCAAGAATGCAAAATACCCATTCTGCCAAACAGTCCTCCCACTGTGAGGACAGGCTGATGTGCTGTCACAGGGAGCTCTGGGAATCTCAGATCCCTTTGGCTTTTGTCTGGAAACTGTGCTTCCATGAAAGAATTCCTTGTCTGCAGTTCATGGGACAGCATAGGCTGTATTCACATCCTCACACAACCAATCTCCATTATCTTACAGAAGTAATGGTGTTTGGTTTTTCCAGTTCTGCAGGTGAGAGCATTGGATTTGTAACTGCTCTTGTTGTTTCCCATGTCTCAAAGGTCATGGCATAACGTGTACTGTGTCATAAACAACCAAGAGATGGGCTTCTACAAGGACTCAAAAGCTGCTGCTTCTGGCATCCCTTACCACAACGAGATCCCTGTCAGTTTGAAGGACGCAGTCTGCGAAGTAGCAGTCGATTACAAAAAGAAGAAGCATGTGTTCAAGCTCAGGTAAACCTGGGGCAGTGCTGTGCCCCTGGGGAAAGCCATGGTGGGTGTGTTCACTGGGAAACCCAGCCCAGGAGCTGACCATGAATGTTAACTGCAGCACCTGCTTTTCTGAGCAAGCTCCTTCTGTCCCTGAACTGTGGGCTGTTCATCAGAGCGAGCAAGCACTGAACAGTGTTGCAGTAATCAGAGCACTTTCATCTGGGACAAGACCAGATGTGTGTGCCTGCAGCTGGGGGCCTGCATTTCACAGTGCTGGGTTTTTCAGCTGCTCCCTCTGGAACTGGTGGAGAGCAGTGATCATGGTTCTGCTCTTTTCCAAATCAAGCCTCTTGTTTAATTTTTTCAGTATGAATTTAGGAGACTACTGAACACATCACATATTCAGGTCTGGAATATATAGTTACAACCATTTCACACAAATATGTGAAAGGCCTGTTGCTCAAAAGTTTAAAAAAAGGCTTTTCCCTGGGAAACTATCAAGCCTCTTGTTTAATTTTTTCAGTATGAATTTAGGAGACTACTGAACACATATCACATATTATGGGGTGTAATATATAGTTACAGACCATTTCACTCAAATATGTGAAAGGCTTGTTGCTCAAAAGTTTAAAAAAAATCTTTTCCTTGGGAAACTTTAGTTTAATGAGCAATCTTCTTGTGCCAACAGTTAAAAAATATTTATCATTACATAGCTGTGAGGTAATCCTGTCACAGAAGACTGACTTTATGAACTGATTGGTTCACGTATTCCAACACAGGTGTTTTGGAGTTTTTTGGCAGAGCAGGGGTGGTGGTGGTGGTGTTTTATATTGGTACAGGAATCCTCTAAAGATCAGAGAATCCCTATATGGGGAAAATTTGCTTGTAGAAAATATATGTGGAAATATATAGCAAATATTTAGAGAAATGTACCTTTCTTGAAGACAGGCCTGCAGCTATGTGATTCATCCTTTAGACTATTTTAAACCTCTCTGAATTGCTAATGGAAGTATATGCTGTTCCAAATCCAAAGTTAGGCAGAAAAAACAACTGCCCTTTTTTTCCAGTGCTCCGTCACCTGCATCAGGCCCCTTGGATACTTGCATGTAGATATTTCCTCTACTCAAGCACTCTTATTTTACTATTTAATCCTTAATTTCATTTCATAAAGAGTTTTTTAAATGCTTGCTTTTTGTTGGGAAAGATGGGGAAACCTGCAGCAGAGCTCCTGCTGCCCCTGCCTCCTGCTTGTTCTGGTGATATTCAGTTGTTTTTTCATTTTTATGTATCATCACATTGTTAAATGTATGCCATTTAAACCACCTGGAATCAAACGAAGGGAGACTCTGGCATTCACTGTGAGGAGAGGCAGCTGCTCATCACTAACACTCAGAGCAGGACCTTGAGGCAGCACCACCATAGCTACGAGAGCAGAGCAGCTGCAGGATTTTTTTTTCAAAATTTTCCTTCAATTTTGCAGGATTTCCCAGGAGCCATGAAAACTCTGGGTGCTGCCTGTGACATTTTTCTTTTGAAAGTATTGAGTAAACTTTGATAATGTGTTTTGCAAAGGAGAAAAGATGTACCTGAAAGAGCAAATACTGAGCCAGCAGCCACATGGGAACACGAGCACCACCCTGAACGTGTCCAGAGCCCAGAGCTACTACGTGTGTGGCTGCAGCAGGGGCTGTTGGGGGCATTTGGCACGTGGGCACTGTCCCGTGCAGTCCTGTGTGCTGCTTGTGTGCTGGAGCCAAACAAGCAGGAGTTGAAACACTGTGACCACTACTGAGCTAATTTGTGATGGTGTTTTCTTTCCAGATTGACCGATGGCAACGAATACCTCTTCCAAGCCAAAGACGATGTAAGTGTGTTTTTCTTGTGGTTTGTTACTGTGCTGTCTGTGCTGCTGTGCCGTGGGGAGAAGCAGCTGCTAAGAGCTGCTGTGCACTGTGTGTGTGGGTGATGCATAGGCCCAGGGCTGCTCAGGTACAGCCTCTAGGAGGTGTCTCTGGAGGTGCACAGCCTGAGGGGATGAGCTGGGGCTGGTTTTCCTTGCATTTCCACCCGTGTCCGTTCCCCCTCCGCACTGTCACGGGAGTCAGAGGGGCGTGCTGGTTGTAACACTTTTGTGCCTCTGGGGCTTCTTGAAGGAGGAGATGAACACGTGGATTCAGGCCATCACATCAGCGATCTCTTCGGACAAAATCGAAGTGTCCCCGACCACCCAGAGCACTCCAGCCTCCAGCCGTGCCCAGACCCTGCCTGCCAGCGTCACAATAACCAGCGAGTCCAGCCCTGGCAAGCGGGAGAAAGACAAAGAGAAAGACAAAGAGAAAAGATTCAGCCTTTTTGGTAAAAAGAAGTGAATTCCATCTCCACACACTGCACTTCTCTGACCGTTCCAGTGGAATTCCAGCATGCGAGCTCAGAACCAATACGTTACTCTCTGTGCCTCATGTTCCTCAATGTGATTGACATTTTTTTATTTATAGAGCGTTTTAAAATAAAAAAAGCCAACAAAAAAAAAAAGAATCTAAAGTTACAAACGTATGAGGTGCATTGGGCAGCTTCTGTAGGAGAGGGAGGACCAGGTTTTGGGGGTTTGTTTTTGTTTGGGTTTTTTGTTTGTTTTTTTTTTTTTAAATGAAGTTAATGTAGATTAGATCTTAATATTTAAACTGTTCCTCAATTTTGTGAGGCTGTCTTGGAAAATAACCCACTCCTAGTGCTATTGGTATGCAAGGCAGCGGTGCTTTCGAATCTACTGTGCACATGAGAAAGCAATGTACAAATTCTCAAAGGCATTCACTTCCAGTTGAGGTTGTTATGCTGAGTCCTGGCTAGTAGAGCCTTCCCCTGCAATTCTAACAGGAATTAAAACAGTAGTGTGTTCTCTTTGCTGTAACAGAGTGCAGGTATGCGTTGACTCACAGCCCAAGGTTTGTTTAACACCACCCGAAGCGTCCCCGCATCGAGTACGACAGATAAGAATGTTGGTGTTCAAGATGGATTAACAGGCTGGTACAGTTTTAAATAAGCTGTAAGGGTAATTTTTTAAAAAATGTTTTTTTTTAATTTTTTTTTTTTTTTTTTTTTTTTTTTTGCCGAAATACATTATATTGTATGTTTCAGATAATTCTAGTACAAAGTATAATAAGACTAGATGTATAATAAACCCTTTAAAATCATCAATAAGTGTAAAAGTGGAACTGAAGCATTTACTGGAAAAGTAATGTTACTCAAATGGTTACTTGCTTGTCAGCTGCAGCACTGTGTGTTATAATTTTGCTACATTACCTTGCTCTTTGATACATAGTGTGCATTTCTGTCACTGTAACTATTGTAATGAAAAATTTTCATCTTACTGCACAATCAAAAATTACATTTAATAGGAATGAACTTTCAATGACTGGGCCTGTAGTCAAGAGTAGTACTGGAACTGGCTTTCAGTTGTATCGAACTGTACCTCTAGACTTTTACCCTATCTGTTAAATATATGCGATGTCATTAAATGCTTTTAAAACTAAATATGCTGGGTAAGTTTCTTATTTCATTTCTGACAATGTTAAATCATAATTTTGAAAGAGGATCAAAAATAAAGTTATTTTAAAATGTCATCTCTCCTGTGCACTGAAAGTGATGTCTTCAAATGTAATCCCATTCTTTTGTGCGAAAGTTCATTCTGAAATAGTTGTTTTCTCTCTTCCCACTTTTCTTTCCCTTCACTTCCCACCTGCCCTCCCTTTTACCCTGCCTCCCAAATGAAGTGCCAAAAATAAAGAGAAAAGGAATTAAATGAATATTTTGAAAAATATTCTGATATAGATACTTTTTGTGGGAAGTGAAACCGGCAGAGTGGATGGGAGTAAGCACAGCAGAGGCTGGGCAATGGAGTTCCCTGAACATTTACCCGATGGAGGTAAAGCTCCATGTTCCAGCTGGCAGCAAAAGGACATCATTTTGAGTAAGCACCAGTCTCCAACTTCCTGCCCACCTTTTGCTCATGTGCTTACATCCTTTCCTTACCTTGGATGCCACCTAGGGAACCATCTAATAGGAATAGCTCTAAGAAGCTCCAATAAGTTTTAAAGTCAATGAAATGCAAGGAACCCGGGTTTTAATGTACTGTGATTGTTAAAATCCACTCAAATATTATTTTTGGTAGAAAGCAGATAAACTGCAAACTCACGTGTTTCCAAGTGACAGTTTCCTGAACATGTGACCAATACAGTGTCTTAAATTATTTTCATGGAGTGTACAGTGTTCTCTGGGTTTTTCTTGTTTTCCAAAGCTTTTGGTTATTAAACAATGGAGTATTCATGTACACAAGCTTTTACTCTGTAATGGTATGTTGTTCAGTCTAATTATTAGTAAAATGTAGGCTAACACTGCTAGTAATGTAAATGTAAAATTTAATACATTAGAAAAAGCTGAAGTTTAGCCTTATTAGAGACTATGAAACCATTTTCTGAGTTGATTAACGTGCACAGAGATGTTGATGCCTTACATATGTGTCACTTCAACTGAGCTGGTGCAGTGAGCAGTCAGGCAGATGGATCTCGACAGCCTGTGGTGTGTGGTTCTGTAGTGATTTGGTTGAACACTGCCTTTAGAGTTGTTTTCTTGTTTGTCTCACTCCTTACTGGAAGCTGTTCCCAAGAATGACTTGAATAAAAATCCTTTCTGCTTAGGGACTGATTGGAAGTTGCTGAGGGGCAGGAGTGAATCCCAGTAAGCCTTGGAGCCTCAGGAAGCAGAGAGAAGTCAGGAGGAGCCTCCCTGGACAGAGCCAAGTCAGAGAAGTCAGGTCAGAGCACACACCCGTGTGCCAGGGCAGGAGGGAGAGAAGTGAGGGAATCTCTTGGACCGTGTGAAGGGAGGGACTGCTGCTGGAAAATACCAGGGGAAGAGGGAACTGAAAGGTGGGTGATGGAAATGGGGCTGAAACTGGAGCAGGCTGTCACTCCCACCGGTGTCACCTGCTCGGAAATGGCTGTGACACTTTCTGAATTGCACCAGTGACCTTGGCTGGACCTCTGACAGATGGAATGTTCTGTTCCTCCTGGAGCCGCACTGAAGGGTGAGGATTTCCAGTACAGAGTACACATTACTGCAGCTGTTTTGTACCTAAGTTGTGATATTTCCTCTGGAGACACAGTGCAGAAGTCATACAGAACCTGAAAATTTTCAAAGAAAATTAATTAAGACAAACTGCTTCCCAGCTGTGTTGCTTGTCATTGATAAGAAAAGGAATTGTCCTGTAGTCAGGTCAGTCTCCTTTTTTCCATCTTGGAGGGACCCTCACATCATGTTCTAAGCTGAGGGAAGTGTCAGAGGGTCCTTCCCATATCCAGGCAAATTGAGCACAATGTGGGGAAAAAATCCAGCACTCTTTAGCTATAAGAATTCAGTATGGGTTGGTGGGAGGGTTTTCTTTTAGATTAATGCAAATAATCTGTTAATCCATCTGTTCTGCACAGAGAATATATTCTGTGGTTAGGCTGTACTTTGTATGAGGAAGATTAATGATAATGGTTAAGGAAAATAAAGGAATTTTCATTGTTATTATGTCCTGGTGAAATATTGGTTTAGATGTTTTTTTCCTTCACCATGGTCTTCTTTCTTATGGTTGACTTCTCAGACTTTAAATGGGTACGGTCTTTCAGAATCTACCTTTGCAATAAATAACTTGCAGGTATGAGAGTTTTGCTATTTTTGGTGGCTGGTTTTTTTTGTTGTTGTTTTTTGTTGGTTTTGTTTTTTCCTACCTTTGCTAATCACAGGCGGCTGAAGAAATACAGAAACTTAAATCCCAATGAATGGGAACAACCATTAGTCCTTTTCATTTAAAAAAAGCATAATCAGAAAATGAGCCTGTGATTACTGTTAAGAATGAAATTACCGGAAGAAGCGCGCACCTCGGCCCTGTCCGTGGATTGCCGCCCCCTCAGCAAGCGGCCGCGGCGTGTCCGGAGCCCCGGGAGCGGGCGCGGCGCCGTGGAGGGGGCGCGGGGCTGGCGAGCGCCGCCGCTGCCGTCCCCGGGCGCCGCCCGAGCCGCGCGTGGGCGCATCCGCAGTGTGTCATAATGCAGCACGGCCCGCCCGCAGCCCCGGGACACCGAACGGGGACACCGAACGGGCTGCTCGGCATTCTGACTCCTTGTGGAATGAAAGGAAAGCGTTTGGTGCCTGCCGGATCCTCCCCTGCTCAGCACCACCCCCCAGCTGATCAGCCTGGTGGTGGCGAACACCGCAGCTACAGTGCAGCGCGAATACACATTTGTCTGTGTCTGAAAGATCATTTACTTTCTATTCCAAAGAAAGGAATGTCGCACAATACTCTTTCTCCGTTAGATGAGACGCTGGGGTGGCTCATTGCGTTGTAACGGCAAAAATTATCTGGGGCTAACACGAATTTTGTTACAAGTCTGTTGTTGCTACCGCTGTTCCTCTCCTCCCACGCCCAGCTGAGGCAGAACTGTCCCTTGCTCACCGAGTGCCAGCACCGTCCATGAGAGGTCACTGTACCCAGGGAGATGCGGCGGAGCCGCTGCCACCGGCACCGCACACCGAGGGTGATTGGTAAGCTCGGGGGAACGAAGAGCTCGGATCCAAGTTCTCTTCGCTCACAAAGTCAGATTTCTAAGGAATTATGTAAACCCGTGGCAAGATTTAGACATGTCTCAGCTGAATCGTCGTAGGAGGGAAGTTGAGTCAAGTATGGCAGCCAGAATACAGAAAGGTGAGGAGCTCCACCATCCTTGCTGTGGCAGGAAAAAAGGAGATTCTGTGCGAAGATCAAGCTTTCTGCAGCGATTTTAAATCGGTCCCTGAGGCTCCATGAAGCTCTGGCAGAAAGGCAGCCCCCAGGCTGGATGAAGGCAGGCAGTACCCCGTGAGACAGGGGTCTGGGGTACCTTGGGCTGTGTGTCAGGGTGCAGAGGTGTGATGGGTAGGTGTGATCCATCTGCTGTTCCTGGCTGTCCTGCACAGCTCTGGGACAGCAGCAGAACCACTCTGTCATGGCTGGTCAGGACTTTCCCTCCAGGCTGGCTCTGCCAGGTCTCTCCGAAATGGGCATGAGGATAGAAAAGGCTCTATTTTTTATTTTCTCCTTTTTTCCTAACACCGTTTCTGGCCAGATCCAAGCATTTCATTAATTCAAATCAGTATTTCTGCCCACAAGGAATAAGAGCTTGGAGCCAATTCCCCTGTTATGATTTTGTAGTTAAATTGTAAAATCACCGAGAGGCATCAGTCAGGATTGGATTAATGTAATACCAGGCAACAAATAAACAGAACTAGATCACAGCTCCTGCTTCTGATCCCTCCCCTGAGTTATTAGGGATTTTATATAATTTCAAAAAGTATTTGCAGCTCAAATAAGAGGTACCAATCTTGAAATACCAATTAATATGCCATCTCTGTGCATCTGCTGTACATTCATCCATAAAAACATGGGTTATAAAGGCTATTTTGTGGAGCAGAGATCTGGGACATAAGACAGATGTTTCT